TCCACTTACCAAGGTTCCATTTTGGTACCGGCTTTTTGAGCCACAGCCAAATGAGGGTGAAACGCCCACAAACCGAAACGCCGATGTCCCAATGTCTAGGAGCCCCTTGGGCCCGAAACCTTCCCCAGAACTAGCTCCCCCTTTCCTTTTCGTTTTTTGCTTTTTTGGGGGGGACTCCCTTTGGTTTTCCCTGACCAGGCAAACATGATATGTATTTTTGCTGGGTCCTAAATTCCAGCCTAGAGCAAAAGCATGGCACATGGGGGTGACACGCCTACTTAAGACGGACATGTCCAAACCCTAGGAGCCCAAGACCCTAAACATGAGGGCCTTTGACCCCCAAAGACCTCAAATAATGAGGTCGGCTCCTAGGGAAAGGTCGAATGAATCAATGCACAGAATCATGGCTGGTCTTTGGTTTGACCATATCACCCCTTTTGACCTTTGGAAACAAATGGCTCTTCCCTAGAAGAGGCTAGAGATGTTGCCCACGGGGGAAGAGCGACCCTGGTTTGGATGGGCGGGGAAGCTACCCCAAGAAGGGGAAGCTGACCATTCATACTGTGGGTGGACAAAATCCTGCACCATTTGAAACCATAAAAACCGTTGTTTGTTGGTTTTCACAGGCAAATCAATCATGCCAGGGTTTCTTAGGTGGTGCAGGATTTCGTCCATCCACACTATCAATCCTGAACCAGTTGATAGGTGGTTTATCACAATATTTAGGGTTTCATCCATCCAAGGTGGTGAGAAGTGGATGTTGTCCATCGGGAGAATCTATTTGTTCACTTTGGTGCATTTTGCCAAGGGATGTTAGGACTTTAACTTTTTTCGTCAACTCATGGGGGTTTTCCGTATTAAACCTCTAAAAGTGAGTCACTTTTAGCAGGGGAGCAGTATGCCACCGAGGTCATATGGACGTGTCCTTTTGCGGGCATCACTTTGGTTTTGAACGGGAAACCAAACAGACATTTACCACTGGCGGTCCCTCGATTTTGAGACGACCCTTTCGTTTGACCTCACTTTCTCTCATGAGGGCACCATTTCTGCGGTTGGTTTAAGGGGAAACCAAAGGAAAATGACCCCATTTGGGGGTAGCCCTATCTTGAGACAAACTCATATGAACCTTTGTGGCAGTTCCTTTGGTGAGTTTCCTTCTGGTGAACAACCCAGTTTGAGGGTTCTCCTGTAAAGTCATTTGGACTAAATAAGCGATGCCCTAAATACAGCTAATGATCTGGGTCAATTCCAACGTAGCTTGCTCTTTTCAAAGTATCCCCCACCAAAAACAAGCCCCGGCAGCTGAACAACAAAGCGCCTTAAGGACGGAAACAGCACCCTGACCAGCGCCTCTTTAGAAGCAAAAAGTGATACTATTGCCACAAAGCATTTTGCCCATTTAGACACCGACCCCATTCATCTCTACCGGTTTGGAGACGTCGCTTCGGGGGCCTTGTGCGTGGAGATAACCTTGGCCGAGGAGAAAAGGATTGGTCGGCTCCCGCGCCTCCGAGTGCCCCAGCAATTTTTTCCTTGTTGTTTTAGCGGATTGAATTGTGGGTCCCCCTAAATAGCAAGTTCCCTAGCAAGTTGGACACCTTCATTGGTTTTGCTTTTTGTTTTGGACATGGGAAACTGGGGGGGGGGGGGGGGTTCGCGGATGGAATTGTTGGTCCCTAAAAAGGCAAGTTGGAAACTGTGGGAACCCCATTTGAAGCATTGGTTTTGTATTGGACCTGGTTTTGGTGTGCGCCTTACCTGGCAGAGCAGCCAGGTGTATCGTAGAGTTCGGGTGGTTCCGAAACCCCAGCTGCCCAAAAGCATTGCCCAGTGGCACCTTTTGTAGGTACCACTAAAATGGTCTTTCCAAAGCGTTGAAAGCCCATGAACTGAGTAAGACATGGAACCCCAAGACAAAAGCCCCATGCCATGCCAAGTGACTTCCTTCTTTCTGGGTTTGTGTTTTTTGAGGGTACCCCTTGCTGGGTGGGTTGAAGGGAAGCCGAAAGGAAAACCACCATATGGGGGCTCCCCTGCAAAAAACAGACATGCCCATTCTTGTTTAAACAGTTACCAACAACGGCTCTTTTTCCGGGAGCAACTTCCTTCCAATCGCTCACTCAGCTCAATGCGGGTTTCTCCATCGCGTCTGGGAACTTTGGCGGCTCCCCCAGTAGAAACGGTTGATTGGGGGAGGGGGCATTCCCCTTTTGAAGACCTCTTCTTGGCTGCTATTTAGCTTTGGTGCATTTGGCCAAGGGATGCTAGGACTTGAACTTTTGCCAATTAATGCGTTTTCCCTTAAACCACTAAAAGTTAAACTTTTACCAGGGGAGCACAAAGCAACTGAGGTAGGCATTGTTCAAGGTTATTTGGAGGTTCCGCAAGCTTCAAATGCGAGACTCCGAAGAACGCCATGGCGGGACTTTTGTTTGGGGGGTTCCATGTCTTACTCCCTGAGTTCATGGACTTTCAACGTTTTAGTGGTACCTAAAAAAGTTCAGACTTTAATTGGCCAGTGCACTGAGGAAGTGAGATTTTGCAATCAAAAACGAGACAACTAGCTTGCCGGCCCGACATGTCTAGGGAGAGAAGGAACGACTCTCCCTTTCAGATCAAGAGCTCCATGTGAGCCTCGCCGAAACTCCCTTGCTCATTTCGTAGGTGGTATTACGATCTGTTTTAATTCTATGGCTGGGTGCGAAATCCATTTCGCACCACCTAAGACACCCTGGTTTATTATTCGATTTACCCTGTAAATGTTGGTTTCAACCATGGTTTCAACCATGGTTTCAAAGTGGTGCAGGATTTCGGCCGTCCGTATAGGTTGTAGTAGACCCCCCAAAGAGGACATTGTTTTTTTTTCATTCACCAGGGCCATCTATTTTTCCAAAAGGCCACTGGTAACAAACAGCTCCTCGTATTTTTCCCAACAGCTGGAAGCTATGGGGTCTCTGCGATAGGCTCGTTCGGGGTGGTTTGGGGCAGCTGGCAGAGAGGGATCCGGAGATTCGGCGTCAGAGATTTCTGTCCGGATACCACCTGGGCTTGGCTGTTTTGCTGCCGCCTTGGGGAAAATGAAAGGCCAGGACAATTGCTATTTGTTATTTTTTTCACCTGGAACCAACAACTCCATGCTTTTCTCCCCCCAACCCCGGGCCCAAAGCAAGGCTTTTCCTCAAAGACGAGCGCTCATTTATAAGGCCACGGCCGCCTAGTCCTCTTTACCTTCTTGATCCATGGGTATAGCTCAACATAGGCCTCGGAACCCCCAGATGTTGTTGTTTTTTTTCTTTTTCTTCTTTTTTTTATTATTATTTTAATTTTTGATGGCGCCTTCAATGGCTTCGGTTATCCTTTTGGTTTCCCTTGAAAGGGCCAAGTTAAGCATCAACCCGTGGCTCGGGTTTTGCCTTTTGCCCCCAATCGGTCGGGGGGAGTCCTAGAATGGTAAAGCCCCGAACCGACGAGCCCTTAACTTTGTGGCTATTTCTTTGGTGCATTTTGCCAAGGGATGTTAGGACTTTGCCAACTAATGGGTTTTCCACTAAACCACTAAAAGTGAGTCACTTTTAGCAGGGCTTCGCAGAAAGCAAGCGAGATTTGGTACTAGATGGTCTGGAAGTTAGCCAAATGGTTAGTAACCCTGGCTGCAACCCACTTGCCACGGTTGCAAGTCCTCTATAGCTGAGGATTCTAACCATTTAGCTAACCACTGAAGTACCGGATCTTTGGACTTTACCCACTTTTGGGAAAGACGCTTTGTTGTGGAGGAAAATCATTACCCAGCACAAGTTGAACACTTGTTGCAGAGGGGTCTCGTTGCAGCCACCAAGTCAAGAGCAATTCCAGGGGTTTTCTTTCTGAAAAACCCTGGCGCTCGCTCGTGTCCAACTGGGTTGTATGGAAGCTGAGAGGAGGAGCACGAGATGCTGCAGGAGCAAGGCAAGGCACCGGCCAGAAGCTCAGAGTGCCGAGGGAAGGTTCCTATGGCTCACTTCCCGGCTGGAAGACATCCAAAGAAGAAAAGCACCTACGGTGGGTCTCAGTTCCTGAGGACTCACGGGTTTTGACGCCACTTTTTTTTTGGTTTGGGCCATTTTTAGTGGTCAACAACAGGTGTGGTTACGTTTGTTGGGCCAGCCGCTCAGGAAGTGAGCTCGGGTTTTAGTTGGTTTCAGTTGGTTTTGTGGTTGGGTTCTTCACTTTTGCCTTTTTTTGCTGTCCCATTTGAGTAATGGGCCCAAAGGGTTCACCTTGTATTTCCAGGTCCTTTGGGCAATTGAGCTAATGTTGACCCTGTCTTACTCAGTTCCTTGGCTTAGTGGGGATTCAGACCACTGTAGGGAACACCCCCATTTAGGAGCTCATTTAATGGCGGGTCAGATGAGCTCAGCCTGGCGTGCAAGTCCTTTTTCCAGGGAAACCCCCTGATTTCCAGTTTGGATAAACCTAGATAGCAAGTTGTGATCGCTTTTTTCAGACACTGCTGCTGGTTTTTGGGGTAAAGTGCATGGAGAAGAAAAAGAAGAAACAGCAACTGGCGATCCAGGAAGGTGTCTTTTTAGGATTCGGTGAACCACCAATTCGTGGGAATCTGTTTGCAAGAGGCGTCATTGGATTGCAGGGGTCATCTCAAAAACGAATTGCCTTGAGGTCCCAAGCTCTTAGGGGGATTCGAATCCCCCACTTGAGCACCGCGTCCTGGCGATTGCGGAGCGAAACGCACGCCGCATCCATGAGACGACGAACCAGCGGGCAGGGTACAAAACCATTCCCCTTTTCGGAACCTCCCAAAGTGGCAGTTTTCGTGGACACCAGCAACTTGATCCACCTTAAAAAAGGGAACCCCCCCCCGGTTTTTCTCTGCGAAAACATGGATAAAATAAACAATGAATACAAACACATTTTTTTTTTTAAGAAGAAGAAGAGCACAAAAACACTTCCTCCGGGGTGCTGCCGCGGCCGGTTTCAGACAGACCGCCCCCCGACTTTTTGGGAGCTCAAGCCGGGCCCTCTCCGCCGGGCGGCCGGGCGGGGGAGGCGGGGGAGGCAGGGGTCTGGGTCCGTCCGAAGCGAGCCGGGTATGCCTAGACTCTCCTTCTGACCCTTACAAAAATGGTTGGTCACCCAAAAGAAAGATTCGGGTCAAATGGGCCCATTTTTGAAGGGTCAGAAGGAGACTCCAGGTAATTGCCCAATTGCTCTGGGTAAAAATCGGATCATGACCCCTTTCTTTTGGGTGATGACCCCATTTATTGAGGGTCATGGAGAGTCTGGGTACTGGATGGTGGATGGTGGAGACTCGCGCCTTCCCTTTCATGACATCAGCCAAAAGGCCCGACGTTGGAGGGGCCCTCACCCCCATTTGAATAGATACAGGAGTTTATGAATCTGGGGTCAACATTACCAACGAAAACATGGTCCGGTTCTCCGTATTTAGTCAACCAACTGTAGAACGCGTTCTGACGACCGGCTTGGTCGGGCAATAAGTTTTACAACGAACTTTTGGGGCCTCTAGAATTGCCAACTCAACATGTTGGCTTTCAAATCCCAGACCAACACTGGAGGTCCAAAAGGAAGAAGGATACTTGCCTTGTGTTGGCAGGTGCTCCCCTATTGGCGTGGCAAAAACAAATCCGCTCGTGCTTTGCCACCCAAATGCTTTCTTGTCTAGGAACTGCAGGAACTCAGGGAATGAGACAACCGTAGGTGTCCGTTTGGTCGGTGAGTTTGCATAGAAATAGATGGGTTGCACTGGTTTAGATTGGCTCCATCTATTTTTCCAAAAGGTCCCTGTGAACGAAACAACCCTTATCTCCTTTCGCCAACCGAACCATCTACGGCGCCAAGAGGTATTGATTTTGGGCTGACATAGTTCGTTGCTTACATATCCTGGGAGAACCCAACAAACTCTACAGTGAATGCCATGCTTGGAGTGTTTTTTCCGGCTGGCTGTCCTTTAAGAGGTTGTCCATTTAAAGGAGCAGGGTACTTAGGAAGTGGGTCATATTCGTGGTTATGACCCACAAACGCCATGGTTATAAGTCTCCGCTCAGTGGGTTATAACCGTTATAACCAGGCTTACTAACCACTTACCTGCCGTACCTTTAATTTTCTGGTGTGACAGGCAGGGAATGAGGAATATAATGACCCTTATAAGCCATCCAACTGGTGGTTTCCTTTAAAGGCTAGGTCCCCCAGTAGTTCCCTTTTACCTCTGTTTTGGGGGAGGGTTCCCCTACTAAAACAGCCTACAGAAAAAAGGGTACCCTTATTCTAACCTCTCTACTGGAGGACCTACTAGGGGAATCCCCAAAACCGGTCCATTCCCACATTCCCTACCTCTCGCAAGGGAATCCGTCCACGGGGACCCAATAGAGCTGGAGCCACTTTTTGAGAAGCCGAAAACGCCCCGCTTCGGCCTGAGGCCCGCGGATGCCTCGTCGTTTTTCTTCTTCTTCGGATTTGGGGTGGTTGTGTTTTTGGAGTGGGTACTTCTACGTCGGGGGTTTGGAAGAGAAACCAAGAAAAAACCGGTGGTGAGTGTGTGTGTGTGTCTTCTTTTTTTGGGGGTTGGTACCCCTGCGTGGGTTTTGAAGGGAAACCAGGAGGACAACCGCAGCCCATTTTGGGGGAGGGGGTACATTGTTGAAGGGCATCCCCTTCAAGCAAATTGCAAACAAGGCGGCGTCCACTGGACGCACCATCATCGACGCGTTTGTTTTTCCTCCCCGTGGCAGTCGCAGCCAACCCCTCTCCCAAGTTTTCCGAGTGGAGGGAAGCGCCGATATGGGGGTCCACAGGAAAAAAGGCAATGACATTGGTAAAATCAAATGAACAAAACAAAGAAGTTCAACTATAATTTCCACATCTGTTTTATTCTTTAACGAGATAACCCAATATAAAAGAGAAATCTACCCTCCCACCAACTAACATGGGTTTGTGCAAAAAGGCCAACTAACCAAGAGGAAAGTCGTCTTTCTACAGGGGTCCGAAGGCACAAACCCATGTTAGATGGTGGGAGGTAACAACCACTAATAACCTTGGCTGAACCCTGCTCAAAACCTTTGGAAACTACCCACTACAACAACTAGCACTTTTTGACCATTTTTTTTTAAAAGAGAGACAACCCAATATCAAAGAGAAATCTAGAAGGATGATTCACAGTCGCAGCAACGAGCGCGGCAGTCGGCGGTCAGGTCATGGAATGCCGTGTGGGCGGCAAGTTTCGGCTGGGCCAAAAGCTGGGGTCTGCCGCCTTCGGTGACATCTACAGCGGCACCAACGTGGAGACTTGGAGTCCGTTTTTTTTCCTTCTTTTTTTTCTTCTTGTTCTTTTTTTTCTTCTTTCTTTTCCCGTGTTGTCTCTCTCTTTTTTCTTTTTCGGATTTTTGTGAGCTTCTTCAGCTAGAACAGGTGTCTCTTCTCGTTGAATGTTTTGTTTCACACAGAAGAAGGCCGTGAGGCTTAAGCAAACCCGAATGCGTAGACTTGAAAGACTATCAGTGCCTAAATCGAAGGGGCTGCTGATGTACTTTAAATCAAGCTTAGGTCATGCTCATGAAGGCAAACCCACCATAGGGGGGCTACTTCGACACCGACCCACATTCCGGTTTGAGCAACACGCACGGATTTGGTTTGCCTCTTGGTTCTCCACCCAGAGGCTCCTGGCTTCGGCTTTCAATGGAAGACCCGACCCCTCCAAAACGACACCCCGGGAACCGGTGTTGGGACGTCTCAGAACCTGGCGGATTCAGGGCAATACTTCGATACATCGAAGTGGAGCCTCTGGGCATCTTAAATCCAGCAACAGGTTCCTAGAGTCTCCATGACCCCTAGAAAAAGGGCCCATCTGACCCCAATATTTTGGGCAATGACCCCTTTTTTTAAGGGTCATGGAGAGTCTAGGTTTGGTACCAAACTCAAAAAGACGAGCCCAGGTGGAAAAGAATCAGCCCCTATCTTGCTGGACCCTGCTTTTGGGCTTCGCCTTGGGAGTAGCTCTTTGGTTCGAAAGCTCACTTGAGCCACGTGCTCAAAACCGATTCGGGTAGATGAAGGTTAGTAAGGGATATTCCCAACCACAAATAGCTGCGGATATCCGCCTTCTCATTTCTTGAATCATGGTTCTGGGTAGACCATTTTAATACCGGGTTTTGATTATGACTCACTTGCCCAAGCTGAATCTTGGTATTGGTTCAATTGGAAGCCAAAAGTTGAACACTCATTTTGGCCCATCTCAGATTTTGACACATCTTGGAAGGCTGACCAACTGTTCTCAAAGGGAATCGACCTTAGCTGACGTTTTGACGATTCCCTTTTTGGGGTTCCCATTTTTCGTCGTGGCAAACAGATCACCTTGTATTTCTGGGTCCCGAAAGGCCGACTGAGAGACAGCGATCTCGAGGGGTTGGCTGATGGTTCAAAGGGAAGAAACAAGTTGAACACCCACCATTCGGATCAGTCGGGAGGTCGATCAACGTATCCAGGCTCGTTGGGTGTTGCTTTTTGCCCCAAATCACGACAGCTAGATTTAGCTAGCTGAAGTTTCATGCCGAAAGATTAATTTTATCAATTAGTTGAGCCGAAAAGATTGCAAGAATTCTCCCCCCCCCCTTCCCGGGCTCCACCCCCCCCCCCTCTCAAGCAGGGACTTCGAGCCAGAAACACATTTCCACGGCATTTGGTCTGCATATTGCATGTAGCCTCTTGAGGATCTTTATGGCGCCTCTCATGGGTGCACAAGCTACTTATGGAATCCATTTTGTTTCCGACCCGTCTCATACAACAGTTGCTAGCTTTCGTTTACCCCCTCCTCAAGTTGGTTTTTCCGAACCAACGACTTTTATACTTCATGGCTATTTGGTTGCATCTTTGGACTTTTAACTTTTTGGTGGACACGTTGTGGATTTTCCATTGGACCTACAACAAGTTTAACTGTTTGCAGAGGGGTTAATAGCAACCAAGATTCATGGATTCGCTGACACACGACACCTTCGAAGCCTTTGGCCTGTTTTGCAAAAGCTTTCGCATTTCTTTGGCGCAAAAATGCCAAGCCTCACCCCAACTTTCGAGCAGGTTTGGGGCCCTTTCCTTGAACTTCAAGTCTTGGACGTTCGAGCTTGGGGAATCACGCATATACTATCTGAACTATGTTAGGACTTGAGAGCTTTTTGCCAACTCGTTGGGGGGTTCCGTATTAAACCACCAAAAGTTAGTCACTTTTAGCAGGGGAGCAGTATGCCACCGAGATTTGCCATCCTATCCAAACCTTGTCAACTAACCTTAGCTACCCTTGTTTTAAAGACCTGTGTAGCCTTTTTGCGTTCCGTGCCACAAAAAAGCAATACCTGGGTCTAAAACTTTTAGCCCAGTATCAGTACAACCACCATTTAATTTGGGTTCCCATTCAAACGCATTTCTCGAAATGGGAGTGTCTTTGTTTCGGAATCGGACCCCCCACATTTCTCCACAAAAAGACCATGGTCCACCTTTCGGACATCTTCTCTTCCATTTGCGTCAAAGGGAATCTATCACTACTGGATTTGTAGTTTTCCTTCTTTTCCAGGAGACTTGCCAAACTGGATAACTACTGGTAACCGCAAGTATTTTATCTTATTTATCATTGTCATTTATCTTTGATTTTATCATACCACTTAATTGGTCCATTTGCGTCAAAGGGAATCTATCACTACTGGATTTATTATGTTCCTTCCTTTTTTCAAGGGGACGACCACTTGGCGGTTTGGGATCTGAACCGCTCTTGGAGCCGAATGGGGAAGGTACCAAATCGAGCCGGGCTCCAAACCGATTCGTGATAGCGTTGGACTCTCCAGTCTGGATCTCCATTGGAGTCCGTTTTTTGGGTATTATTGTTTTTTCCAGGGGACCTATTCGCACATGGAGCCAGAATCAAAACCTGGGTAGATGAAGGTTAGGAGAACCCCAGCCATAAATGGCTGCGGCAGAATTCCGCCTTTTTAATTCTTGAAGCATGTTTCTGGGCGGACCATGTGAATACCGATCGGTGTTGATTCTGACTCAGTCGGTGGCTTGGATTGGCAGTTTGGATTTGGATTTGAACACAAGGGTTCTTGTAGAGGGTACATGGCCAACTGGTTTTGATCATGACTCAACTGGTGTTTTTTCTTGCTGGATCCGATTCAAGTTGATTTCCACGGGGCTTAAGCAACCCTCAACCAGCAGAAGAGTGCAACTCATTTTTCCCAACTGTGTGCTGCCTTTTTGTGCTGTTTTCTGGGCGTTTCGCCGCCTATGCAGCGAGTGTTCACCGAGTCACTTTTGTTTGTTCTGCCCCTGCTTTTCCGAGGCTTTTCCCCGAAGTTGGATTTTTCCTTGAACCAGCCATTCAGCCACGTCCCTCGCCTTGTTGGCGCGGTTGTTGCAAGGCGAGGCTTGTGCGAATTCACGCGCGTGCCTTCCCTGTTTCAACTTGCCAGGATCCATTTCTCTAGGGGTTCATTCTCCATTCTTTTCAACCATCGTTCTTTTCAAAAACCAGCTGTTTTTTGTTGGGTTCTGATGGTTTTCTGGAAAGAAGGATCCCTGGAAAGAATGGGGAAGTGTCCCCTATAATTTGTCTTGTACAGGCTCAGACTTGGACCCGGAGTTGATTTCATGCCCTGTGGTTCAACTTGATGTACAGGGCAGGAGGCCACTGAGATCATGTCAGCGGCTTGTGTCCGTGTGCGTCAAGCCCCTCAACCACAAGCCACCAATCCAACTCACCAATTCGGAAGCTGCTATTCGTGGGGCTTGTCGCTTTTGAACAAACAAAAGGGGCGTTTTCCACAATTTACATCAACCGCTTGGACGGTTTATCTGGGTTTAACGGGGCCCCCCCTCCGTTTCACCGCCAAACCACCGATTCGGCTCCAAGCTGAGCAAAGGCCCAAAAGCTCGTTACCCTAGAGACATGGAGAAAACACATCAATGGGCAGGGCTCCTGAAAAGATACATGTTGCCCATTTGACACATATTTTTTCCACCAAAACAAAGTTGGAAACCATCATTTAGAAGTTGCAATGTTCAGGTGTATCATCTAAGGACCCCTGATGGGGGGGCTGGGAACAGGGCCGGGAATGGAATCTACAGGGAGGTACCCCTCGAGTTTTGGGATTCTTGTTGAGCCACAGATTTCTCACAGTGGCCATGGCGCATATGGCGATCCCATTTTGATGGTGGATGAAACATCCCATTTTGCCTGGAAAGACATGGTTGTGGTTGGCAACCATCATTTACAAGTTGCAATGTTCAGGTGTATAATGTAAGGACCCCTGATGGGGGGGGGGCTGGGAACAGGGCCGGGAATGGAATCCAGCGGGTTGGGAGGTGCCCCGGTGGAAAGTCTCCGTTCGCTCTCCGAGGAGACGGGCGCGGAGGTGGCGATCCGCATCGAGTCCGTCAAGGCCAAGCACCCGCAGCTGCTCTATGCGCCTCGGAGCGTGGCTCGTGAAGCCGTGTGCCTTAGGCTCGACTCATGGCTTCTCGGTGGGTGATTTTATTTTGCTTCACCTCATGGATCATGTTTTTTTGTTTTTGTGTTGGTTTTGTAGGTTACTCTCACCATGGCTTTTGTGGGATATAACACTTCGCTGCTCTTGGATCATGTTTTTGGTTTCTTTTTCTCTTCTTTTTTTTTTTTTTGGGGGGGGGGGTCTATTCATGTTTACCAAGGGTTGTGAAACTTCACTGCTCTTGGATCATGTTTTTGGTTTCTTTTTCTCTTTTTTTTTTTGTGGGGGGGGTCTATTCATGTTTACCAGGGTTGTGAAACTTCACTGTTCTTGGATCATGTTTTTGTTGTTTGTTTCTTTTTTGGCAGGAGGGGGTTGTTGGTTCTGTTCATTTTTAGTAGGGGGCTGCAAACGACATTTCTTTTGCTACCATACCAAGAGTTGTGAAGTATATATAACCATGGCTAGTACCGTGGAGTACTAAGTACCCTGGCCTTTAAGTAGATGAAGGTTATTAAAGGATACTCCCCTTGCCATAAATGGCTGCGGCAGAATCTGCCTTCTTAATTCTTGAAGCATGGTTCTGGGTAGACCATTTTTAATACCGATCGGTTTTGATTCTGACTTCACCGTTTTAGACCTTTTTAGTTGGTTTAGTGGTTGGAACCCTCTATTTAACCCCTTTTGGTCGGGGTGTATCATTTCCGGGGAGGAACGCGTATTTTCTAGGACGGGTTTACTAACCGGAGTTTGCTTAAGGGTTTCCTTTCAAGATCAGCTTGTGGGATCACTTGGGGTTTATCCAACCACTTCTGCGATACTTTTGGGAAGCCCCGCTTCATATTGGGGGCTCTTCTTTGGGAGGTCCTAAGCATCCTTACAAGGATTCCTTTGGGCGTGTTTCTAAGTTAAAGCTTTCTATGAGGCAGCTTCGTCAAAAGCTCCTTGCAAGCTTTCGGGGCTCGGCGATGATCCAGCCCTTTTTGTGTCTCACAGAAGGGGATTCCATTTTCCGCAGCCTGGCGAAGTCTTTCATGTGACCCTGCCTGCTGGCTTTAAGACCAAGGAACACATAGAACATCCGGGTGTGTCTTTTTTAGGGTTCTTCCGAAGTTCCGTTTGCGTTTCAGGATATTTTTTCATTTCCCCTGGTTGGCTTTAAAGGGAATCGATTTTTAGGGGGCTGCAGCACATGGACGTGTTGGCTTTTAAAGGGGATCTGCAGCATTTTCCTCCATTTTCCATGAAAGGGAAGATCCAGGAACACAACCACTGGCTCATACTGTGGACGAAATCCGCTTGTTGCGCCACTTTGAACCCATAGTTGAAACCATAACAGTTGATTGGTTTTTACGCTTGGGGAATCACTTCAATTTTTGGAGTTGCGTAGGAAAACCAGGAGGAAACTACAATGGATTGGATGGATGGATGGATGGATGGATGGATGGATGGATGGATGGATGGATGGATGGATGGATGGATGGATGGATGGATGGATGGATGGATGGATGGATGGATGGATGGATGGATGGATGGATGGATGGATGGATGGATGGATGGATGGATGGATGGATGGATGGATGGATGGATGGATGGATGGATGGATGGGGTCAGAACTTTTGGCTTCACTTGGATGTTCGATTCGCCAAGTTAGTCTCACCTTCCAAGTTCCGGGACTCGGACTTCAGTCACTCTTCGGGTTTGGACCATTTTAGTGGCTAGGTCCCCCAGTAGTGCCCTTTCACCCTTTTTGGGGGGCAGGGTTCCCCTACTAAAATAGACTACAGAAAATAAGGGTACCCTTATTCTAACCTCTCAACTGGAGGACCTAGGTGGTAAATAAAAGTGTTTGGACTTGTTTGGGTCAATCCACTCAGGAAATAAGCAACAAGTGGCTAGCCACTCGGGGTTTAAGCGCAAAAAACAAGGTTCACCCGACTGAATGGGGCACTTAGAAGTGGGTTTATACCCTAGTTCACCAACAACGCTTATCAAAGTCTCACTCCCTGAGTTCCGTTTCGGACCGTAGCCGCTTTTTGAGTTTGGACCATTGTAGTGCTATTTTGTGTTTTTTTTGAAAAGGATTAAACAAAAACAAAAAACAAAAAAAACGTTTGGACTGTTTTGGTTGCCAATCCACGGAAGAGAGAAGTCAGAAATTGGGGTTGTTTCCCTCAAACCAAGTGAGCAGGGGTGACTTTGGTAAAATAAGGGCCAGCGCAGGGCTCGGGGATTTGTTTCCCTCCTGGATGGAAGAAACCCGCTCAGGACCAGTTAGGCGGTTTATCAGCCACTCTTGATTTTGTATTCGGCCCGAGACATCAGTGCTTGGCTCCCAGCCATCCGGTTCCTTATCTTTCTCGGTTTTGTTGGGTTTAGTGGTCGTTTCCATTCAACCCAAAAACAGAGTCACTGATAGCAGGGGATCGTCCAGATTCAATCACAATTGTCCAAATCGGCGTGTATTGTTTTCTTCGGTCGCCCCAAAATGGATTTCGGTAGTTTCCATTTATTCCACTAAAAGTTAAACTTTTAGCAGGGGATCCGAGGGCAGCCCAAATTACTTGAGGACTTGGGTGTCAAAGACCCTCATATTTAGGGTCCAAGGGGCTAGGGATGGGTTTTTGTTAATCCATCCCAAGTGCCAAATCGGCGCGGGTTTTGGCTTCAGGGCGATTGAGGGAAGCCTAGTGGGCGCGCGTTGGGAATGCCCATGTTGGCTTCACAAGTGCAGTCATTAAGTCACTGATCAAATTGCTGCAATGGCTTAGGAAAAACTAAGACACCTTAAGTTTCCCCTAAACTCTTGTACACAAAACACCTGGAAACTTTTTCTGCAAAACAATAGATTATGGAATTCCTTTCAACATGAAGCGTGACAAAAGTTGGAGTTGCTCTCAATCGGGACTCTGGATGCCTCACTTGTTGGTTGATGAAAGGGGGGGATGTCCCCTTTTAGTGCGACTCCTTGTTTTTGAAGGTTGCACCATGGTTTTACCAACGTGTTGTGTTTCATGCAACTGAGCTCAGCAGAACTGCAAAAACGATTCAAAAACCTTACCGTTGCAAAGACCCCTCCAACCGTTCGTAGGAGGTGGGCGTTTGATTCGCCAAGTTAGTAAGTTGTTGGTAACCTAGGTTGTAACCCATTTGTAAGTCCCGCTAAGTAAAAAGGTTATTCGGGGGGTTATACCCCAAGTGGCTAACCACATACCAACTTGGCCGCACATCCAATTAGGCTGTTTTTGGGGCTTTAGTTCCTTTTCGCGCCGCTGTTTGGTCTTCGGGGCGTGAACACCGTATGGGGGGTGTCCTTTTTTGAGAGTGCGCCAGAACAAGAGGCGGTTTTGCAAAAAAAAACACATAAAAAAAAAACAAAAACATGCAGTTTGTTTGGGGGGTGCCCGGCATTGGACCCCTTTCCATCTGGATGTCTCATCCATGAACGGTTTTCATTGGGGGTCCAAAACTTGTGCTCAGCTTGGACCCTACTGAGGTCGACCTCTGACTCAAAGGGGAGGTTTATGCTTCACATGTGCCCACGAACAAAGTGGGTATTGGGAGTAGTGGGCAGTTTTGGTGGTTATTGGCCAAGGGCTCTAGTAAGAATCCTCTGAAAGAAAGTTGATTTAGACCCCAACCCCCACGTCTTCCCCAAACTACCAGTGGATGGACGAATTCCATTTCGCACCACCTTGAAGAACCCGCGGTTGAAACCATCACGTTTGTTTGGTATTTGCGTTGGGGAATCGATCCATCCATTGTTCAGGCAAGCTCTAATTGGTGCTTTGGGTTGGCGGTTACCAGGATTTGAACCCCTGGGTTCTTGTAGAGGGTAAATGGGAAACTACCCCTGGGAAGCTGAAAATTCCAATCTATGGGTGTGTGTTTTTTTAGTAGGGGACCCACACACACACACACACACACAAACTGAGGGTTTTCCTCTCGGTTTCCCTTTAAAACCACCCGAAGAAAAAAAACAAAAAACAACGGGGTAGCTGAAAATTGCATCCCACAGAAGTTGAGCGCGCACCTTGAACACATCAGCATGGAGGAATAAGATAGGACCCCAGTTCCATTGTTTTGATTTCTAGAGCTACCGACGCAGACACGCCCACATCAGGTTTGTTGAGGTTTTCCTTTTGGCTAACCTAAAAAACGGGTGGTACCGACGCAAAAAACATGACACGCCCACATCCATCCGTTGTAAGGTTTCTCGTCGTCTCAGGAGTCCAAGCTCTACAAAATCCTGGAGGGCGTTGGGGTGCCGCTGGTCCACTGGCCGCTTTGGCTTCCGCGATAAAAACAAATGGTCCACCCCGCGGAAGAGGAGGTGTTGCCGTGGCTTCCATTCGGGTTTCACCACATAGTTTGTTGCTTTCCCCTTGTGGTTTCAAAGGAAATCGATGTCACTGGACGTATGTTCCAACTTTTTCTAGGGGGCGATTTCACTACTGGATTTGTTCATTTTTCCAGGGGGCGGAAAACAAAAGGAAGGTGGCAAAGACGTGGGACAAGAAGTGTGAAGAGAGGCAAGTTGGCCCCAAGTTTGGCTTGGCCCTTTGCTTTTGTTTTTGTTGAAGTATTTGGGTGTGGTGCATTTTGCTTGGATGTTAGGACTTTAACTGTTTGCCAATTTTCCGTATTGAACCACTAAACGTGAGTCACTTTTAGCAGGGCTTCGGGTGTGGTTCGAAAATACTGTGGATGGACTTTAAACTTGGCCGCATAAGGCCTGTTGACCCCAGAAACCCCTTCTCCCCAAGACACAGACACCGGGATACGTCAGGATGTTTGAAAGCCAACGTCAGGTAAGTAGGTTCTTTCACCATGTGTGTGTGTGTTTTGTTTGGGGGGACTACCCCTACCCAACTTATACCCATAGTTATAACCCACTTACCTCACGTTGGTTGGACATCCAAGTAGGGGCTCAAGGCCGGGGATTGTGGGATCAAGGGGTTTATCCCCACTTCTGTGATACAAGGGAATCTCCCGCTTTATATGGGGGGGTAGTCTTTGGGAAGCCCTTTTTGGTTGTATCACAGAAGTGGTCAATTCCCACAGCCCTGCAACTCAAGCTGGCCTTAATTTGCTGATAGGCAGGGAATCAGACATGGCATGACCCCAAAAAAGACTGTCCCCTATGGTTTCTCCCAAGCATTCAGCACCTGAAGTGGAGCTTACATTGCACGGGTATGCGTCCAAATCAGAAACCCAAAAAGTAGCAGGCTTTCTTTTGGTTTCGCCAAAACAAAATCAAAAAGGGCAACGGGCCTAAAAGACACGCCCACATGAAAACGCTCTGGCTTGGGTACCCTCCTTGCTGCTTCACGTGCCTTTGAAGTAAGTGAAAGCTTGGTGCGAGATCATGTTGTTACTTTCCCTTGGTTTTGAAGGGAATCTATCGCTACGAGGAATCTGATTGTCTTTCCACACGAGTTTTGATCGGGGATCCCGGGAGAACATATCATTTAGGTGAGGATTCATGTCCACCACATAGCTGAGGTGTTGCCCTACTAAAAGTGATGGGGCAAAATGCACGGGGACAGAACAAAGGGGACGTCACGTGCTTCGCGGGTCTGCATCACGTCAAGAAGGTTTCTCGCATAGGGACCCCCCGTGAACTTTGGTTGGAGTATTGTACACCGTGTAATCTAGGGGTGCTTGTACATACCCCTTTTACATACTTGGACAAATGAACCCAAAAGGCCTGCTGATGTTCGTGCCCCTGTCCCCAACAACGTTGGAAACCAGGGATTATAATGTGGGAAATCCTTGTAAAGTGGGTTGGAAACCAGGGAAGCCAAGGGGTATGAAGAAGGGGTATGTACTGCCGCCCTTAGACGTAAGGAAGCAAACATCACCAGCCCCAAGGCAAGGAGAAGCACAGCTTCCCCAAGGGTCATGACCCCCTGCACACCCCCGGACCCAATTCCTCAGGGGCCCTCAAAGACCAGTGCCCAAAAACAATCGAGAGTGTTAGGGTTGGTGAATGGAAGATTCGCCCAGATATATCATGAGCACCCAATTGAGGAGAGGCAATGGACCCCAAATCCCCAGCAGAAAGGTTGCATTCGAAGCCTGTGAGAACCCTTACTTGATTGTTTTTTGGGTTGGATCTGTAGAGTAAAGCCTCTCTTTTTTCTCGGAAACCAAGGGTTTTCCCATTACAAACCGTATATTTGTTTTCGGATGTTTTGGTGGTTTTCCATTCAACCCACAAAAAGTTAAACACTTTTTGCAGAGGGGTCAACCGCAAGCTTAGGTCAACAGGCCAGTTCCGAAGCTCCACTTTTGGTCGAAGCGGGTGGTACATAAAACTTGTTTGGGGGATCCCGGTGTATGAAACTTTCGCGAAAAGCTTCCATTTTCACTACTGGAAATATGTGCTTTTTTTTTCCCAGGGGTCTTAACCAAAATGGAAGAAAAGGGTCTCTAACCGCGGCTGGCCATTTGGGTCTCCAAAAGTCCGCCTTTCGTAAAAGGTGTTCCATGGTAGATACATGTTTTGTTGGGTGTGGGCATACCCTCAGAAAGGTGGATGCCAGTTAACCCTCACATTTAGCTCTTAGTTAAATGTTCAGTCCAAGTTTGCCCCGGATGAATCAACCCGTCCGATTTTTTGGGATGTTCCCTCCGACAGTGATCCGGGGTTCCCATGAACTAGCCGAGAAAACCATGTCCTTATTTAGACCCCCAAAAGTAACATGGCAACGGTCCCTTGGTATTCTTTTTAGCGGAGCCCCAAAATGGTGATGCTCCTGTTGGTTTCCCACTTTAAACCACCAAACGTGGGGAATAATTACCAACTCCCCCCCAAAAACGTGGCGGCTAAGCACAAAACATAGCTCTTGGTATGGTTGCAGAAAACGTTGTCTTTTTTTCAGCCCCGTACGAACAAAGATCGACGTCCCCACTTTAAGACACCAAACATGGGGGTAATTACCAACTCCCCCGCCCAAAAAGAAAGAAAGAAAGATCGAACAAAGATCGACTTCCCCACTTTAAACTTTAAACAACCAAACATGGGGGCATATCAGTCCCTTCTCCCCCCAAAAAAAATATCGACCTTGCGACTTCAAGCCATGGGTAACTACCAACTCCCCCACCAAAAAAATCAAAGGCAAAAAAGATCGGCGCGCTCAGGTACGGCATTGAGAGTTCCTACAACGTCTTGGTGACCGACCTTCTCGGGCCCTCCGTTGAGGAGCGGCCGGTTGGCCGGTTCTCGAAAGAGGTGGAGCCAGACATTGGTGGGGAGACCCCGCAGACGCCTCAGGGGTTCGAGTCCAAAACCAACCAATCCACTTAAGACTTGGCAACAATGATAAACATAGGGTATACTGTGGGTGGACAAAATCCATTTCGCACCATTTGAAACCATGGGAAGCCATTGTTTGTGGGTTTTCACAGGCGAATCATCAGAAACCAGGGTTTCTTAGGTGGTGCGAAATGGATTCGCAACCATCCACAGCGTTTGAATCCTTTGGGGTACGTTGACCATCAGGCTGCTTTGGAAGTCCTCAAGGAACCCATACGGATGGTTCAGTTGCCCATCGAACCAGCAGGTCTTCCCTTGCTGCAATGTGTCAACTTTTTGCAAGGCGTCTAAGTCTGGCTCAGAACACAGTTTTCCTGGGTCCACTACAAAGGATGTTATTCTTGAAGGGCAGGTTCTGCAGAACCCTTGGTATGGTTGTTTGCAGCTCCCTACAAATGCACAGAACAAGGGGACGAAACATATAAAAACTTGCCGAGGCAGTGAAGTTTCTGCAGGTGAGGCTGAAACTGAAAGACGCGAAGCACCCCACGCAACCAGAGTTTCGCATGGCCTTGATCCAGGACGCAGGTCTTAAGGGGATTCGACCGGCGGATCCGAAACGTTGACTTTAGATGGGCCCGGAGGGCTTTACTAGGCTCTCCCAGCAATTGGTGGGTTTTTCTCTACCAACTTTTTGTTGGGGGAGGAATCCCCTACTAAAGTAGACTACAGAACAAAAAGGGTACCCTTAATCTAACGTCTCTGGAGGACCCAGACTAGTTTTAGGGGTGGTTTCCGTTTCAGTGGGGAATGACACATGTTAGGGGGAGTCTGCTGGTTATGGTGGTCCTTGTTCCAACCTGAAGTTTTCATTACAGCTCTGCAACTTGACATGGGACCCAAAAAGAAGGTCCATTTCCCAAGAAGGAGATTCCTCTCAAAATCGAATCGGGTTTTTGCAGGTTCCATGAGAATTGCAGGGTAATCTAATTTAACATTAACCTCTGTGTTCCCCACCAAGGTCTATTGGGGGCCTTACGAAGAGTTGATTTTCTGGGGATGCTTGCCGGCCGGCCACCTCCTTGTTTTGACATGTTTCCACTAGTATTTTTGCCATCTCCTTCTGGGTTCCCTCAAAAAGGACCACGTTACCAAACCTGGTCAATTGGGAAGCAGGAGGGTGGTGTGGTCACCGCGAATGGTGACCACGGGTCTGCTTTGCCCGGCGAAGGCTATGGGATCTCTGACCAGAGCTCCAGAGTGATGTTCCAGAAGGGTCCCGCGGGTTGCGGGGGATACCCGCGGGGCAAGTATTTCTTCTCACTTCCCATGGACTGCCACCATCTAAATCCTCGCCATTCTTTTGGGGCTAGGGGCGTAATTAGTTCAGAAGAGAACCCCAACTCACTCCCTGAGTTCATGGACTTCATACTTTTGGGTTCGGACCGTTCTTGCAGTACACAGACAGTTCCTGGACATTTTTTTGGGCCCATCCACTCGGTCGGAAGTGCGTCTTGGAAGCCTTCGAGTCTTTTTTTTTTGTGCGCCAGGACGTCTTCGGCTTCTGCAACCACAAGTTCAGTTTGAAGACGGTGCTGATGTTGGGGGACCAGATGCGCTTTCGGCAAAGAAAGGTGAGGGACCAAAGCACAAACTTTTATTGTAGGCTTTGCCTTTGCGTCTTTGTGAGGTGTCGTTTATGGGCTGCGATGGTTGTGTCAGTGATTTCCGCACAGGTGAGTGTAATTGACCTTCCTGTTGGGCACTCTTAAGATCTTTCCTTGAACTCATGACATCTGCGGCTTTGTTGCGGATTGCCGAACGCATCCCCCAAGGATCTGTGGGCTCGGCGCCCGGTAAAAAATGGACAGACACAAGCAGACTGCTCGTTTCTCCCCTAGCCTGGGCTTGATTTTGGACACCGAACTTTGAAAAGAACCCAAGGTTGAATCCTCTGAAGCAATCGAAGTCAGAGGGACACATGAGCTCTTTTCCGGACCAGTCGCGTATCTTCTGCATCTTCTGCACAGCGATCGCACGCCAATTTCTCGGGGATTCCCGAAGAAAGGACACCAAATCGGATGGATGGTTTTCTTTGGGTCATTCCAACTCATTCCAATGGCGGGGGTGGAAAGAAACATATCCGGGGCATTCAGATCCAACAGCTTAAGCTACGACTTTTGATTCGTCGAGGTCCTGAAATCTGGCAACGTAATCTCCGGCAACCCCGAATAGATTTGGTTTGGGTTTGGAGTTGAACCCCAGCTCTTGAAGCCATCAACTCCAAATGGAGAGGCTGCCCCATAAGGTGCACCAAACAGGGATAAGGTGGTTTGGATTGATTTGGATTTGGATAAGAACTCCTGGGCCTTTAGGGCGAATGGGACACCACGAACCCTCCCCGGAAATTTCATCCAATGCAAACCCTCAGTCGGGAAGCTGAAGGCCTTACGGATCCAGCGCCAAAATCCGAAGATCCGAAAACTCGGAAGACGTGAGTCGATTCGTCGGATCCGGTCTCTGGTTTCTCCTAAAGCTGAAAGTTCGGGTCTCTTTGCTTCTCAGTTCAAAGCGAATCGACCGGATCAATCGACCTTTTGGTAAAATTCCATTTTGGGTTCCCATATTTAGTCATGGCCACAAAAGGTGATCAGCTTATTTACCCAGACTCTCCTTCTGACCCTTGAAACATGGTTGCCCAGTCATGACCCGAATCTTTCTTTTGGGTAATGACCAACCATGTTTTAAGGGTCAGATTCGGAGAGTCCAGGCAGTGGCCACCAGAGAATCGATCGGCTTTGGGTTCCTGGTCCCTGAGGGCAACCGAGGCTTCCAAGAAACGGGATACCCACTCAGCCGGAAAAAAAGCGAAGCGCTGGACCAAATTTTTTCCAGTAAGCATCTAACTCCTGCGGAATTGCGTGGGCCGGCATAGAATGCGTGAGCCCAAAGGGTGTTTTATTTTATTCCGGTCAAGAACCCAAACGGTTCAGGTTGCAGTTGCAGTCCTGTTGCAGTTGCAGCATGTCAAAACCGCGGAATCACATGGTATTTGTTGGGTTTGGACCAAACATCCTTTAGCTTCTTGGAGAAATGGGAAAGTCGTTTATACTTGTTACTATTGTGGATTTCTCTAGCTGGGATTTCTCTAGCTGTCGCCAAGTCTCCTCAAGGATCCTTCTCAACAATGGAGCCAGACCGGGGAGATGCGTGGTTTCTACCTGGACTCTCCATGACCCTTAAAAATGGGGTCATTGCCAAAAAGAAAGGGGTCATGACCCCATTTTTCAAGGGTCATGGAGAGTCTAGGTACTTGTTACTATTGTTGACTTACCCCCTCAAAAACATCTTCCGTTTTCCTTTTGGGTTCCCTTGAAATCCAAACCCAAAGGCCTGCCACATCTCCGCGAAAAGGAAAAACAACCAGTCGAGGCGACGGCTCGATCGCCATCTGAACCACACTCAAATTCCGGGTAGATGAAGGTTGGTAAGGCACAATCCCCTTGCCACAAATAGCTTCGGAATTCCGCCTTCTTAGTTCTTGAAGCATGGTTCGTTTGGGTAGACCGTTTTCATACCGGGTTTTGATTATGACTCACCTTTCGTTTGTAATATATATATATATATATTGCAGTGTAGATAAAATAAGTGCATGGTTTTCCTCTTGGTTTCCCTTCAAATCCAAACCCAACAAAACAGGGCTGTGGGGAATGACCACTTCTGTGATACAACAGAAAGGGCTTCCCAAAGACTATTTTGTTAATAGAAAGGGGGATTCCCTTGTATCACAGAAGTGGTTGGAGAAACCCCGAGTGATTCCACAAAAATCTGCAACAAAAGGCCTAGCACAAAAACCCGAAAAACGTCCTCGTTCTTTCCGACGGATCGATCGATCGGATCCATCGGATTCTGAGGATTAGCCGTGTGGAGGCGATGCACGCCAAGAGCTACCTCCACCGGGACATCAAACCCGAGAGCCTTGATTTTAAAGGTTTCTTTTTTTCCCCGTTAACCCTTTTGGTTTTGTTAAACCCTTTTGGTTTTGTTAACCCTTTTGGTTTTGTTAACCCTTTTGGTTTTGTTAACCCTTTTTGTTTTGTTGACCCTTTTGGTTTTGTTGACCCTTTTGGTTTTGTTAACCCTTTTGGTTTTGTTGACCCTTTTGGTTTTGTTGACCCTTTTGGTTTTGTTAACCCTTTTGGTTTTGTAAGAACCTTTTTGGTTTTGTTAACCCTTTTGGTTTTGTTGACCCTTTTGGTTTTGTTAACCCTTTTGGTTTTGTTGACCCTTTTGGTTTTGTTGACCCTTTTGGTTTTGTTAACCCTTTTGGTTTTGTTGACCCTTTTGGTTTTGTTGACCCTTTTGGTTTTGTTAACCCTTTTGGTTTTGTAAGAACCTTTTTGGTTTTGTTAACCCTTTTGGTTTTGTTGACCCTTTTGGTTTTGTTAACCCTGTTGGTTTTGTCAACCCTTTTGGTTCTGTTAACCCTTTTGGTTTTGTTAACCCTTTTGGTTAACCCTTTAACCCTTCTGGTTAACCCCCTTTTTTGTTAACCCTTTTGGTTAAGGTTTTTCTTTTCCCCGTTAACCCCCTGTTGGTTTTAACCGTTTTTGTTTGTTGTTAACTCCATTTTTTTCTGTTGCTTCAAAACAAGAACTCCCATATGACTTTTTGTTCCCCTGTTGGTTTTAAAGGTTTTTGTTGTTTGTAACCCTGTTGTGGTTGTTTTTGTGGTTAACCCTGGTGTGGCATTTGTTTAACCCTGTTGCTCAAAAAAAAACCTCCATTTTTTTGTATTTTCCCCTGTTGGTTTTTAGAGTTGGACTCGATTTCACTACTGTTTTTTTCCTGCTGAAATGCATATGATTATTTTATTTCTGTTGGTTTTGAAAGTTGGACATGCATTTCCTCCTGGACTCTCCTTCTGACCCTTAAAACATGGTTGGTCATTGCCCAAAAGAAAGATTCGGGTCATGACTGGGCAACCATTTTTTAAGGGTCAGAAGGAGAGTCTAGGTAAATAAGCTGATCACCTTTTGTGGTCATGACTAAATATGGGAACCCAAAATGGAATTTTACCAAAATGGGATTTTCCCAAATGGCCATTTATTTGATTTCCCCTGGTTTTAAAAGTTGGACATGTATTTCCTCATATGTTTTTTTCGGTCGCCGTCTCAACTGGACATGGAAGGAACTTGGCGCTGGGCCTGGGCCGCGCCGCCACCACCCTGCACTTGATGGACTTCGGCCTCGCCCGGAGGCGCCGGAGAAAAAGAAATAAATTATTGGAGAAAGCGGCCGAAGAAAAAGGCGGAAGGCGGAAGGCGGAAGGCGTGCCGTTTTTTTTTGTTTCTTCTCGTTGTTTTTTTGTTTTTGTTATTTTCCGAATTGACCAAAGCCCCTAAGGCGTGGCTTTGGTATAACTTTGTTTTTGGATTTGGCCAAGCTTCTGCCTTGTTTTTGGGGGGCGGCTGTCTCGCCGCCGTGCAACTGTTTTCAATTTTCGCGTCGCTTGTGTTGATTGGGGGGGTGGGGGGGGGTGGGGGGGCGGGCAATCTCGTTCGCAGACAAGAGAACACATGTTGGCTTCCGGGAGCCGTCAGGCTCATGCTGTCTTTGCCAAACCTATTTTCACTGACATTCATAATATTGCTGCGTCTTGCTGGCGTTTCTACCGCGCCCGCATCACTGGAGGCTTTGGCTAGCTTCTTTGAGGTTCCCCTGGCCTACTTGCAGGATCTCCATTTCGTGCATTGTTTGAGGACCGCTGGCACGGCTGGAATTTGTTCGGCAGACCACCCTGATTGAGGCCAGGTACCCGCTTCGATTTGCTGTCTTAGGGCCTTTCCTTGTGCGCCTGCAGGCACTTTGGTCCCGTGTTTTGCACTTTAGTGTTGCTCACCACTCACCGGCTTCTGTGCAGTTGCTTGCTTCTCAGCTTCTACTGTGGCGGGTTAGGCAGCGTGCCATGGATGTGGAATCTTCTGGCCCTGCTCCGGCAGCGCCGGCCACGCCGCCTGCGAGGCCAGCTCCGAGGACACCCCCTATCAGTGTGTCCAGCGCCCGGGCGGAGCTGCAGCCGTGGACGCCTCTGAGGGTGCCAGAGTCATCTTCACTCAGAGACTTGGAGTTCCGTTCGAGGGGATGAAAGCCCACATCATTTGAGCTCGAAGCTGGCCAGATGCAAGGCAGGGCAACAAGTGACACCGGCGGAAGAACTTCATTTGCAACCATCCATTTGAACTTCATTTGCTGCTCTACGCCCGAGGATTCGCAAGCAGAAAGCTGCCTCCAGTCGCCATGCCAAGTATTGCCAATGGGTGTTCCGATGTGGCAATAACCACTGTGAGCACAGGCTGAATACTTTGGCTTGCGGCCCATGGTCTCCCAAGTTGTGCCGGGCCATGGCTCTGGAGCAGATGCATGGACTCATCTACGCATGGCTGACGCTCGCTTGCTTTAGGTATATTTTCTTTAGGGTGCCTATCAAATGGAAAACCTAATCAAATCTGACCCATCAGCAATGCGCGCCCGCCCTGGCCAGGAACTGCAAAGGTCGCCCTCCTAGTCCGCGGCAACTTGGAGATCAGCTGCATGTCTACCGAGATGTGGTTCGAAGATGCATGGCCTGGTTCGCAGACAAGACAGCCCAGGAAGGCCGCGCCATGGCACAGGGCAAATGCTCCCATGTGCGCGCGAAGATGCGAACTGGGAAGCCTTGGTTCGAGATGGATGGCACAGGAGTTGGCAAACACTATGTAAGCCCAACCTCAACCAAGTGGAAAGCGCACATCGAGACATGGAAGAAGACTCGCGGCAACGGCAAAGAGCCCGCATATTCCCAAGTTTTTGTTAGGCTGCTTGGTCTTTTGCACCGCTCTTCTGGGATTTTGCTTTTATTCCCGCTCGTGCAGCGGCTCAGCCCTGCCAAAGCTCGCCCCCCCCACGGAATCAAAGGAGGAAGTGGTGCGCTCAGGCCTTGTGCAAAGGATTCCGGCCTTGCCGCGGATGGATGCAAAGCATACCCGGCTGTGCTCAAAGTGTTTAGGAAGAAACAGATCGCGCTCAAGCAAGTGTCACACCAGAAGTATGAATTCAGCCGAAAGCTCAAGCCCATGAAGGCGCGAGGCATGAAAATTGCTGGCACGCAGGCCCTGGATGCCACATGGAAGTATGTGAAGCGATTCAGGCCCACTAGCTTGAAACAGAAGAACCCGGAGACTGGCAAAGCTAATCCGGCCCTGTACACTTGGGCATTTGCTTACGCGTGGCGCAAGAACATGCGCGCGTGCAATCTGCCTTTGGGCGCGGAGCTGAGCAAGGTTCTGTGGAACTAGCAGCTCACAAGCTTCTGTGAAAGTAGAAGCTGACAAGGTTTTGACAAGTGGACGGCTGACGCAGTTCACAGGCTTGAAAAGGACCGCGGCTGCTGGAACTGTGAGCTTGCCAAAGTGAAAACTTGCTTTTCGCTGCACATCAAATAAAACAAACATGGTGAGGTAGTCAGCGAAAAGCTTTCCTTGGCAGAAACCAATGGATTTGCGTGTGGTCACACCAACAATGCAAACACATGCGCGTGATTCAATCGAAAAAACTTGCCGTTTTGAGACCACGGAAGCACACGCATATTCCTTTCGAAATGGAAAACACAGTGGAGTTAAGAGAAACGCGTTTGTGCAGTTTGCAACAGTTCAACGGCGGCAAGAAAGCCGCCTGCCTTGTTTTTACAAGCATGGCTTTTAGTGTTTTTGGGATGTTGGTATACTTCCCGAAAGGCGTGCCTTGAATGAATTTGGAGTTTTGGTCTACGTTCCTCCCGGTTTTGGGTGTTTTTTCGCCTTTCCTAGTGCTGGGGAACTGAGAAAACGGGCTGAAGTGGGCGCTTCAAGAACCAAGCCAGTTACAGCCTTTGGGAGCTAAGTATTTTGTTGGGTGGGGGATCTTGATGGAAAACCCCAGCTGAACAACAGGCGTGTTTTTTCTCGTTTATATATATATATAAATATTTAAATTACTTTTTTTTTTTTATGTTCTTGAGATGTTGACCAAACTTCCAGGTTTTAATTCAAAGAGGCACCAAAAGGAAAACCGAAACCCATTTCCAAGGTTGCCCCAAAGAGAAAAAAACAGACCACGGCCCTTCAAGACGCCCACCCAAGATTCGAAGTTGCCCGGCCGAAAACATCCTGGGGCAACCAGATTCATAGTGTGGATGAACAAAATTCGTTCGCACCACTTTGGAACCATTGTTTGTTGGTATTGACGAGGGAAATCATTATGCCAGTTAGGCGGTGCAGGATTTCGTCCATCCACAGTAGGAACCCCCTCAACCACTTTCCTGACGTGACCTGTCTAGACATGTTTTCTGGGTTGTTCTTGTGGTTTTCCAGTACCCCAAACAGGCGAATGGCTATTCGGCAACGGATCTCGGACTTTCATGTTTTGGAAAGCAAGCTTTGTGGATGTTCCATTGTTTGGCCCACACAAAGTGAAAGCCATCCACAGTAGGAAATTCCGGATTCATCAGCCCTGCTTGATTAATATAGGGGGTGGCCATGGTTTAGTGGGGCTTCGCCCCCCATTTTGAGGGCCCGAGGGATTCCACCGGTGTTTTTTTGCCATGGGGGGTAGGGTTCCTCTTCAAGCGTTGGGATTGGTCATTCTGAACTCAGGGATCATGCGCTCGCCGAAGGCCGAAAGGCTCAAAACCTTGGCAACTGGGCTTAGGAAAAGGATGGGGATGAAGAAGGAAGGATGTCACAAGACATGTTGACTGTTTTGTTGGAATACTTCAAGTTGTCTAGTAGGAAGCGTTTCACAAGCCATGTTGACTGTTGTTTCGTTTTGCTTCTGTTGCTTTTTTGGGGGGTTTTCCCAGTCACCAAACCACCAATCCAAGCCACCAAGTAGGGCTCCTTAAAGGAAATTCATTTGCGTAACCATTTGAGTTACATGTGGCTTTTTCAACTGAATAAAGCTGGACACCAGCAAAAAACAAGTTGCAATCTTCGATCGGTGTATTTTTCATCCGGATCCCTAGCTGAAGTCCTCGATCGACTTGAGGTACCGGGAGCCTAAGACTTTGGTCCACATCCCCTACAGCGACGCGGAGAAATGTCCGGAAAATTCGTTCGGACCACTCGGGCCATTTCGGCGGCTCGAGTCTTCGGGAATGTTCGGGCGCCGCGTGGATTTGGGGCCTCAAAATGACCTGGATAGCCAAGTTGCCATCGCTTTTTTCAGTCACTGCGATCGGTTTTTGGGGCAAAGGGCAAAAAAAAGCAAAACCGATCGCCACGGGCGATTCCAGGCGAGAATTTGTTTTTGAGGGCCCTCACATCGCCTGGGTGGTGCCGCATGTTGAGGTCCGGGAGTCCTGGCCTCGGGGCCTCGGGGTCGAGGTTTGCCGTTTCGCCGAGGCTTGCCGAAATGGAAATCTGTGGGCGTTGATGCGTCCCGAGGTCGGGAAAAAAAAAAACAAAAACACCGCGGTTTTCGGCAACTTTTGGCCGTGGATGTGTGGCTTGCTTTGCTGGCTGGTGCGATAGGTAGGGAATGAGAAATGGAATGACGCCTAAATTCATTCCATTTCTAATTCCTATCGCACCAGGTTTTATTCCCGAACCCCGAGGTTCATTCCCGGTTTGTTTTTAAGGGGATTCTTGTTTTTGATTGTTTGCCAGGTCTTGTCCACCCATCCATGCGATGCCAAGGAGAAGGAACGCCTCTGACGGGCACTGCCCGGTTTGCGAGTTTAAACACGCGCCTCGGGCGGATTTGACTGACCCCCCCCCCCCCCCGGAGCCCCTTGGACCGAGTTCGATTTCCTGGAGGCCTTGAGGGGTCAAAAGACAGAACAAACAAGCCTTAGCTTCACTTCACGGTTCTTGGCCTCTTTTTTTTGTGTTTTAGTTTTTTGGTCCGGTTTTCATGTTTAGTAGGCTGCTTAAAAAGCGAAGAACTCTTTGCTACCGTAGCCAAGGGGTTGTGCACTTGCACTGTCCCACGGCAACACGTCGTTTTGATTTTCCGTGCCGAGTGTCCAAGTAACAGGCCCTCGGTTCCGGGCCTCGATTTGAGTCCCTTGAAAAAGTTTTCCTTTTTGCTTCCTGAGTTTCCTTCTGGGTTTGAACGGGAGACAGAAGGAAAATGACTTTTTTTGCTGTCCCCTCCCCTTGGGTGTTTTCCCTTCCTGAGTTTCCTCTTTTTTTTTCCTTTTTTTTTTTCGACGAGCAGCTTGCTCGGTGTTGTTCCTGGACCTGAGTCACGGAGTTGTTTTTTTGTTTTTTTTTTGGCGGCAAGCAGTTTGGCTGCTTTTTTGGTTGCCAATCCACTCGATCGGAAGTCTTCGCCATATGCCGTCAAGGTTCCAAAAGCTTAAGCATTCATCCGGGTGTGTCTTTTTTTAGGAGTCCCTCCCAAAAAGGGTACCATTCCCTCCAAGACAAGCCACCCACTTTTAGGTCCGAACTGACGTCTACATGGCGAACTCTGTTTCCAAGTGGAAATGCTTGTTTTCGTTGAGGGCACTCCCAAAACGGCCTGGTTTTTTGGGGAAACCGCACAAGAACACATACCTAGATAGCCAAGTTGCTACTTTGTTCAGTCACTGTTGCCTTTTCGTTTCTGGGGTAAAGTGCATGGAAAGAAAGGCGATCGCAACTTGCGATCCAGGTAGCCTTTGTTTTTTTTCTTTCTCTCGAGTATAAGTGTATTTTGACACATACCCAAATAGAAGACATTCTGCTCGGCGCCACCGAGCAGTGAGCAGTGTCTGGTGTTCTTGGAGGGTGCCCACCCCCCCAAATTGGAGATTTTGGATGGAGACCGGCGCCCTAAGGCAGTATTTAGATCGAGTTCCATCCGGCGGATTTGGCGCCTTTGGTGGATTTGGTCCATCGGATTTCAACAATTTTCTCCTACGAACGCGTTAGCTTGCAGTCCGTGTCCGGCCCGGAAGGCCTAACTTGACAAACTGCGCACCGGGCTCCAAACCGCCCTGTTTGCAGGAGGCTGAATTTTGGTTCAAATGGAACCACAAGTTGAACACCCACGATTTTAGTTCAAATCCCTATTTTGACACGTACTCTTTGAAGCCTTCTGCCTGTTTGGTGTTCCTTCCATCTTTTACACCATTTGCTGTTTGCGCTTCTGCCTTTTTGCTCCCTCCTTTTCACCTAGCCTTTTCAACTAACCTCAGCTAACTCTGTTTTAATACTTGTTTAACACCTTCTTCCTTTGACATATTTTTACCTTGTGGCTTTTCGGTTTTTTAATAGGATCCACCCCTCTCCTCTACCCCCCCCCCACCCGAAACCCCCAACTAGGCTTTGAACAAGGCCGGAGGGGTTAGGGGAGGTGGAGTTTGGATCCAAAAACTCTTTAACTAACTTGAGCCATCCATAGTTAACTTTCCTTTTGCGATCTTTTACTTTAGCCATCCTTGGCTACGTTTTAGCTAACTTGAGCTGTCTCTATCCTTTCTCCCTTGACCCACCATGTTTCTCTTTCTGGCCGTTTTGGTGTTGCTTCATTTCCTCTTTCAACCCGCATTACCCGCATTTCCCGCATTCCCGGATCCGTCCGCAAGGCACCTGGGCATGGAGCAAAGTCGCAGGGATGATCTGGAATCCGTGGGCTACGTGCTAGCGCCCGGGTCGACATTTTTTTTTTTCAGCCACCAGGGGTCCAAAAAAAATGGTCCGAAGCCCCGAATAGTAGTAGACCCTATGAGTCGCTTGCTCGTTTCTCAGAGCGAGTCTCCCCGAGAGCTGCCAAAAAACGCGAAGCCCTTATCGTCTATTTGACCCCAAAGCAATCAGAGCAGTCGGGGAGAATGGGTGTGTGAGAGAGAGAGTCTTTTTTGAAGGTGCCCCATTTTTTTGAGTGTTGGAGGGAAGCCAAGAGGAAGACCCAACCTCATGGTGCATTTGGGGATGTGTTTTGTTTTTTGAGGCTCGGTAGCTTTTGTGGGGGCGATTTCAAGGCAAAAGAACAACGGAAGCTATTTTGGGGGTCCTGTTTTGAGAAACACCTATTTGAAGAAGAGGGAACTCACGAAATTTCAACTACAAAAGACAGCGGACAAGCCTTAAAAGTTCCTGGCCCCATTAATTAGTCACCTCCCAAGTGATAGTTAAAGGGAAACCACTCCAAAGTCTGACCTTGATACCCCCATAAACTGTCAAAATAAGACCCCAGCTTTCCCAAGTTCACCTGCAACAAGTCTTTTTGACCCTGCCTAGTTCCCAGGACTTTAGTCACTTGGGGTTTGCACCATTTTCGTGGTGCCCTCAGGGAATTCAGAGCAATGCCCAGTGCTTCCAGGGCCGCTATAGTAGGTAACCAGGGAAACCATCATAGAACACCTTAGAGGTAAAAATCCCGAAGGGTTATCTACTACGGTGGCAAGTGGAAGCACTGGGTTCCGATTTGAAGGGAAAATCATGACGAGTTTTGACCATGGCACATGGATTTCCCCCCTTTTGAACATCACCTTTTCGGCCCTGTGCAGAGTCAGAGGTCTTTGGAGCCGACAAAAAATAGGAGCCCTGCTCAACCCTTTGTGTGTGTGTGTGTTTATTTTTGGTTTGTCCGGATGCCAGGTCGTTTACCTTCCATTTGCTTAAGAATATTGTTTATTTTCCCGTGTTGGTTTTAAAGGGAATCCATCACTACTGTTTTTTTTTTTTTTCCCCCAGGGGTCTTAACTACATGGAAGTTACCCTGCGGTTTTCATATTCCCCCTGCGAGTTGGCCTCGATCCATACTTCAACGGGCATGTAAACCATGCTGCAAGTTTCTAGGGTGTGGACCCTCCAAGCAGCCCAGGGGTGTCTGGAGTTCCTAAAGGATCCATTGGTGGCATAAGTGGGAAGAATCGAGCCGCTCTCTCCGTTTCTCAGGGCTCCGAAACAAAGATCTCCGCTTTGGAGCCAGTTGAAGCATGTTGCTTGTTCAACACCAAAGATCTCCACTTTGCAACCAGTTGAAACATGGCTTTTTCCAACATTTTGCTTTTGCAACACCAGAATAAAAGTTGGACACCACCATTTACAAGTTGCAATGTTCAGGTGTTTTATGTAAGGATCCCTGTTTCTTCTTGCCCCGTTTGCGCTGAAGACATACTCTTTGTCATTTGGTGGACGAAGAACTCCGAGCTCAGCCCTTCGAAGCCACCGGTGCCCTCCGGAGGTTCTATTACACGCCGGCGACCACAGAGAAAGAAACCCGTAACACCGAACACTGTCCGGCTGGATGGTTGCGAAATCCATGTCAAATCCATTTCGCACCACTTTGAAACCATGAACCCCCTAGGTTGCCAGGGTTTCGAGCCAACCAACGTGACCTTTTTAGACATGCTTTGTGGGTTGTCCTTGTGGTTTTCCATTACCCCAAACAGGCGACCCTCACTTTATGACTACTTGGCAACGGATCTTGGACTTGAACTGTTTGGATTTTAACTTTAACTGTGGATGTTCCATTGTTTGGCCCACACAAAGTGAACACCCCTTTTCTCCATTTGCTCAATCATCTTGTTTATTTCTCTTTTGGTTTCAAAGTTGGAATGAATCGATTTTACCACTGGACATCTTTTCTCTCATTTTTTTCCAAGGGGCGAACAAGCAAATGGAGGTTTGGCGGAGGGAAAGTTGCCACCAAGCTCAAGTCATAGACCCCCCAGCAAAAGGCTCCCTGGAGAAGCCTGGGATAAGCCCGTAGGGGCCTTATGGGCTGAGAAGGGATAGCCATAGCCCCATAGCCCCATAGCCCCATAGCCCCATAGCCCCAGTTCGCGGGTTCAAGAAGACTAAGAAGGGAGACCCCTCCCCTCCATAGCCCTGGGGATTCCCCCCCCCTAGCCTCCCGCCCCCCGGTTCCTCATAGCCCCCCGCCCCCGAGTTCGCGGGTCCAGCTCCGCGCGGCGCGAGGTGTACTTAGGCCGCGGCAAGCTGCCGTGGCAGGGCCTGAAGGCTGGCTCGAAGAAGGAGAAGTACGAGAAGGTGACGGAGAAGAAGACCCCCAGACTTGAAGCCGAGCTTTTTTCTTGAGTCCGAGGATTCCACGTTTTCCCGGATCTGAGGGAGTTTTTGGTCTTTGAGTCGGTTCTCCCTCTTTAGTCCGAGCTTTTTCTTCAGTGGACTTGCGTAAACCCTAAAACCTCACTTCCCGAGTTCATGGACTTTAGTCACAGTTTGGGTTTGGACCATGTCAGTGCTAAATTGAGCTAGGTCCCCCAGCTAGGTGCCCTCTTTATCCCCTTTTTTGGGGGAGGGCTCCCCTACTACAATAGACCACAGCAAAAAGTCGGGTACCCTTCTTCTAAGCTCTCAAATCTGGAGGACCTAGTAAAAGAGTTCCTGGACTTCTCATGGCCAGTCAACTCAGGAGGTGAGATGAAGGTTTTTCGCGTTCCCACGTGATCAGCTTTAAGTTCACTTGCTAGAGGCACCTGTGGGACTCCCAGTTTCCAACCACGGATAGCTCATCCACATGCTGACTGGGCGGCAGGATGCGCATCCCGACCTTCTGACCTGGTTTTCCCTCTTTCCGAAGTTTGTGAGTCCCAAAAGATGAAGTGTCGCCCGTGTAACACAAAAAACGTTTCACACTCTAGGTCCCCTATCTAGGTGCCCTTTTACCCTTTTTTGGGGGAGGGTTCTCCCACTAAAATAGACCGCCGCAAAAAATCGGGTACCCTTCTTCTAAGCTCTCCACTGGACCTAGCCACTGAAGAGTGCCTTTCAATGGGACACCGAAGGGATCTACCCAGAGTGACAAGGTGCCCAACACCAAATGAGCTGAAAGCGCCTCAAAACAAGCCACAAAGCGGAATTTGGCTCACAAAGTGAACTGGTGGCATTTTTGAGGGGCTCTCATTTTTGTCGTTTTTTTTTCTTCTCCTTTTCTTAGTGGCTCCCAGCGAATCATTCGGTTCAACTTGAAGTTGTTTAGATCTTCTTGGTGGGTTTAGCGGGGGCTTCCGAATTTCACCCACTCAAAGTTATACACTTTTAGCAGGGGATCGGTTTGGGCCCAGTCTTGAAGATTTAAGGGACCCAGGAGGTAACCATGCGAAACCGTGCGTGTTCAAATGGCTACCAAAAGTTTAACACCCACCATGTTGATCCATCTCCCTACTTTGACAGGGGTCCCTATATTCCCTTTTGGTGGTTTTAAACCTTTTTTCTTTTTGGCCCATGAAATGCTGAGTGTTTTTTGGTGGGGGTGATGTTCGAAGGGGAAATGCAGGGAGCCCTGATTGACACACCTTTCAAGCCTTTTGCCTTTCAGTTGCCCAACGATTCGCTCGACCGGATCTGACCTTTTGGTTTCCCCTTGTCGAGTTCCCATTAGGCATTGCCCCAAAAAAGAACCTTTTGCTGCTGGGTTTTGCGGGCAACTAGGCAGAAGGTGATCAACTAACTTCAACTCTTTTCAACACCTTTTCCTTCGAACCCTTCCCTTGTTGCAGCTACGGCTTTCCCTCATTTTCCACGGGGGTTGAGAGATCAATATTCCCTGAACGGCCTCCAGTGTTGACCATGGGTAACTTTTTCCATGTGGTTGAAAGATCATCTTTTTAGCGGTTGTCCCAAATCGTCCTCCCATGTTTACCTGGCCTTTGGATCATTTTCCATATCTATGCGCTCTGACCCAGGGTGTTGGGAATGAACCTAAGGATTCCCTTAGAGGAAACCAGAGGGGATGGTTCATAGGGGTCATTCCCTCAGTCCCTGCCTATCGCACCAGCAAGCTTTTTGGTTTTCCCTATGCCCTCTCCTCTCAGTTCCCATTCGAAACGGGAGAGGCTCGGAACTGGCTTCGGAATCGGGTGGAATTACGTACCGGTTCCTTGGCTTCCCTGGCTCCAACCCACTTTATAAGTTTTTTTTTTTTTTAAACCCCTTTGGCGGAGAGGGGTATGAGCATCAGGCCTTTTGGGTTCATTTGCCTTAGGGGTATGCAACAAAATATATGTGCCAGCAGCCCTGGATGGAAGCCAGCGGTTGGGGTTTTCCCCTCATGTTGTTTTAAATATACTTTAGAGCCTCCGGCTCAGTCCGCCGACATTGTCCTCTCCCTTTTCTCCTTCTTCCCTCTCCCTTGTCTCCCTCGTGCGTTCTGTCGTCCTCTCTCCCTCCCTCTGCTCCCCCATTCTCCCCATCCCCCCAAGCCTCTCTCTCCTCAATCTCCCTCTCTCTCTCTCTCGCTGTCTCTGTTTCTCTGTCTCTTTCTGTCTCCCTGTCTCCTTCCTGTCCACGCCCCTCTACAGAAAAAGGTCACCCTAATTCGAACCTCTCTACTCTCTCACTTTCTCGCTCTTTCTCTTTCTCTCTCTCTCTCTCTGTCTGTCTGTGTCTCTCTTTCTCAGTCTCCGTCTTTCTCTCTCTCGCTGTCTCTCTCTCTGTCTGTCTCTTTCTCTGTTTCTCTGATTCTGGCTCTGTCTGTGGCTCTGTCTCTCTCTCTCTCTCTTTCTGTCTCTCTCTCTGTCTCTCTCCCTCTCTCTCCCTCTCTCTCTCTCTCTCTGTCTCTCTCTCTCTGCATTGCAGCGTCACGTCCCCCCCTGAGTTGCCTCGATGTCCGGGCACTGCCCCTGCATGACCCTGAACTGTCATCTCCCTACGGGCTTTCCCCCTTCATGTCCTTGTCACGTTTCCCATGATGTCCTGGTCCTGTCCCTTCCATGCCATTCAGCCCCCCCCTTCATGTCCCTGACATTTTCTCGGTATGTCCGCTTCATTTGCCATGTATGTCCCGTTCTTTCGTTGCGAGTCATTTCCCTACATCTCCCGTCGTGCTTGGTTTCCTTGTGCTTTGTTTCCTCTCCTTCCCCCTGCACTCCCCTTGTTTTCATTTCTGTCCCTTGCATGTCCCTTGCAGTTCCCCTTTGTTTCCCTTTCATGTCCCGCTGCTTTCCTGTCATGTCGACTTCCTATTTCCTCCCCTCATTTCACTTGCACTTCCTTGCATTTCCCCTCTGCTCCCCAATATTTCCAGCAAAAAAACACGCCAGCAAAGAGCCGGCAGGGGGAATCGAGCCCTGGGACCCCTGTTTTGCGACACCGGCTCCCCGAAGACTACGTTTAGTGGAACGTCATCAAATTGCCGCGCGGTCCTTTGGGGGGGGGGGGGCCCCCCCCACGTATCAGACGTCGGGCGGGGGGGGGGGGGGTTATCCTCTATCCTCTCTTAGGTGTCCGACACGCCGAGCAATGTCGGCGGATATATATATATATATATATATATATATCTCTACCTAGACTCTCCTTCTGACCCTTAACAAATGGGGTCCTGGCCTAAAATTAAGGGGTCATGACCCCTTTTCTAGGGGTCAAAGGAGACTCTAGGTATGCCCTCCCCTCTCAGTTTCCATTCGAAAGGTGAGAGGCGTTGGAAGCTGAGGATCGCTACGCCGGTGCAAGAACTCTGCAAGCACCTGGCTCCGGAGATTGGGGCCTTCATCGACTACTGCCGACGCTTGCGCTTTGAGGAGGACCCGGACTACAACTATTTGAGGCCATGGGTCGGAGTATCCCCAACTTCTCTGATATCTTCGGGAATCTCCCCCCCTAGAAATTCCGAGAACCCCCGAGAACCGCCAGCCGGTCTTTGGGAAGCCCTTTTTGGTTGTGTCACAGGCCAGTGGATTCTATGTCAACCACAGTCCTCAGGTGGGTCCATGGCGAACTCCCCTGCTTTTTTCTTCCGCTTTTTTTTCCCTGTTTTTTTCCTCGCAATTTCCATCTACGGCGAAGTTCCCGGCTGCTCTTCCAGTTTCCGAGCCTTGGAGACCGAGCCTTGTTAGGGACTCCGGAGCCTTGGTTTCCAGTTGCTCCGGGGCTTTCGGAGAATTTCTCTCCTCGTCCACACCTTTGGACTTGGCCTGTGGTCGAGTGGGACACCCGGAGCTGGGAGAAACCACCTGCCAAGAGGCTGGGGGCTTTCAATAGACCTAGACCCTCCATTGGACACCCCCGGAAATCGGGGTGTGGGACCCAGTCTCAGTGCCTGGATGCTTGAGGGCCCTCAATAAATCGAATTGGAGCCTCCAAATTAGGCGGTGAGGGCAATCCGCAAGAACCGAATGCTCAAGCTGCTGACCACAGGCGCAAGCGCACGGAGAGCTTGCCCAGAGACACCCGCGCAAAGAGAACTTGCAACTTGCACACAGAAGCTTCCATGGAGTCCCCGAGAAGACATAGTTTTAGCAGAGACCACCGGAGAGAACTTACAGGAACCGGCAAAGATTTTGCGCAGACCCACATAGAAAACCTTGTGCGGAACGACGTGCAAAGAGGCGGCCTCGCCACAACTCCTTTCGGAAATCGGCGCGCACGTCTTCTTGTCGACTTGGCAGGTTTATGCTTTCGGGCCAACCGTCTTTAGAGATACAGCCCACAGGTTGGTTCTCTACTTTAGTGCTCGACCGGGTAAGTTGCTGGTATTTGTTTGTCTTCCAAGTGGCGAACCACTTGCTGCAAGTCTCCTCAAGGATCCTTCTCAACAATGGAGCCGGGGAGATGCGTGGTTTCTACCTGGACTCTCCATGACCCTTAAAAGATGGGGTCATTGCCCAAAAGAAAGGGGTCATGACCCCATGTTTCAAGGGTCATGGAGAGTCTAGGTAAAGAGAACCAGGGTTAATGTTGACCGCGGATGAATAAACCCCCAATGTTGGGGTGCGAACGTCTGCCACGAAGCTTCCTTGAGGCAACTACTCAAGGAGGTCTTCATTCGTCAAGGCTACGAATATGACCTGGCCCCTTGCCTAAGACGGGAAAGCTCGATTTTTTATATCTCTGCTTTCTTTCAGCTTTCCGATTCGGTCGTAACATTGGCACTTCGCCCATGTAGGTCCTCTACTTGGATCCATCTCTATTTTTCACGGGCAGTCTTGGAAAGTGTGCAGATTTGTTTGCATGGCCTCTTAAGCATTGCCAGACTTTGCTTACCGTTTTTTCCCCCCTTCCATTTGCTTCAGAATACTTTTTATTTTCCATGTTGGTTCAAAGGGAATCTATCACTACTGGAAATATTTTTACTTTTTTTCCAAATGGTCTGAACCAATTGGAAGCCCCAAAGTCGCTTTCCTTCCCATTTTCCGTCTCTTTCAAGCAGCAAAACGTCGCCGTTCGGCTGGGGTCCAAGACTGGCCCAGAAAAGAAGCTTTGACCATGACCACATGTGGGTAAGTACGGGTCAAAATGAAGCCACCAAAAAAATGGGCCACATGTGTCAACTCGTGCATGCTTCCATGATATGGTGTCCAAGTCATCAGGTCAAAAAAAAAAAAACATCGCAGACAGATGTGTGACATGGAGCTGCAAACAGAGGCCCTAAAGTGAGCCACGTCCTCAAAACCCGGGTAGATGAAGGTTAGTAAGGGCCAATGCCAGGAATAAACTTCCCCAGAATTAGCTCTCCTTCCTTTTTTTTCCCGCTTTTTTGGGGGTCCCTTTGTTTTCCACTACCGGGCAAAAACGATATTTGTTTGGCTGGGGTCCTAATTCCAGCCAAGAAAGTTGCACGCTTTAAGCAATGTGGGTCAAACCGCAGGAAACCCCTGGAAACATCAAAATAGGTGGCAAATGGATTTTCATCCACCCCCAAATGGAGCCATAGGTTATGCCCCATGGCCACTGTGAGCTGTGGCTCAAAAGAATGGAGCCCAGGGGTACCTTTCTTTCCAGGGATCCCAATCTTTCCAGGAAACCATCAAAAACCCAGGGGAAACGGCCGGTTTTTGAAAAGAGCGATGGTTGAACACCCAACATGCTGCCGATCTGTAAATGGAACCAACAGCTGCCTGCGGCCTGCCCTCGGTCTGGAAAATGTGGAGCCAGACATGAACATTGTTTTTTTTGTTGTTGTTTTTGTCTTTTTCGACTTCCATTTGCTTAAGAATATTATTTTGTTTATTTTCCCCTGTTGGGTTTAAAGGGAATCTATCACTATTGGACATATTTTTATTCTTTCCAGGGTCTAAACCAGATAAAAGTCGAGTCTCCGCCGGTCCTTCCTGGAAACAAAACAAACACGGCCAGCGCTTAGTACCAAGCTCCGAATTCTTGTTGGAGAGAGGCGGCGGGTGGTTTCTTGGTGCCCAGCAAATCGTCCGGTTCAACTTGGCTTTTTAGATCATTTTGGTTGGTTTCGTGGTTGGCTGTCCGAATTTAGCCCAAAAGTTATTCACATTTAGACGATCTGAGGGCACCCCAGTTTGCTACCAGGTTTTGGAATTATTGTAAAATGTGTAGAATGTTACTTGCATGACAACTTGGTTTTAGCTGAGTTGAATCACTTGGCAACTCTGCTTGACAACTACTGCATCCACTTTGGCGTCAATCATTTGAATACTATATTCAACAATACTGAGCCTTTCTCACTTGGTAGACAGCTCCTTTCAGTTGGAGTATTGTAATTCAGAATATGTTTCATGTTTGTAAGTAACATGTAATAAGGATGGCATTCTAGTAGAAATGATAGCTTCAATTATAAGTTAAACAGAACTTCCTTGCTTAAACGGGTTGAGTTAGAATGATTATTTCAATTAGATTTTGAAGCTGCTCTTTTCAATCTGTTCATCAGAGTTGTATTAGAATTCAACATGGACAGAATTATGGTAGACTCTCTTGTTTTAACTTGAATTTAGATATGATACCACGTCCTTTTCAAAGATGATTCCAGTTAGATTGCACTTAGAAGTCTTATTCCAAATTAGATTTCAACTGGATTTTCTTTCCCATGATGTTTTTTCAATCTGATATTCAGGATTTAAGTAGTACAAGCACATAATTCTAGTAGAAATTAAAGTTTCAAGCCGACTTTCAATATGATATGATGATTTCTTTTTGAAAGAGGGTTTCAGTTTGATTTAATTAGATTTCTTATTTCATGCTATTTCAATTTAGACTTTAAAGGGGATGTCCTTTCCCGAGAAGGATTTGGTCAATCTTTTAATTCGATGCTACATAGACGTGAATAAGGATAACCATCCAGCAGAAATCTAGCTTCAATTGTACCTGGAGTCTCCATGACTCTTCAAAAATGGGGTTATGACGAGTCATGACCCCTTTTCTTTTGGGTAATGACCCCATTTTTTAAGGGTCATGGAGAGTCTAGGTATACACGTAACTTCCCTTTCTTTAGCTGATTCCATGTAGATTTTGTTCTTAAATGTGATTTCCTCCCAGGATATGTTGTTCAAGCCTTTTCATATCAGTTCAACTAGACGAGTCTGCAGGAATTGTTGTTTCTGTTCGAACGTCTCGCATTTTCGGGGCGTTCGGGCTTGTCTCGCCTTTTTTTTTGGGACTCGCATTTAGTGAGGCTGACCCCCAAAAGGTGTGCAACTGTCCAACCTAAACTTCCATTTGCTTAAGACCTTTTTTTTCCCTGTTAGTTTCAAAGGGAATCTACCACTACTGGACTTTTTTTTTCCCAGGGGCCGAACAACCCAATGGAAGAAAACCAGTGACAAGCCCAGACCCCCCAAAAGAACTCGAGGGTCACGCAAAAATCAAACCTTCCAGCCTTGAAGGTCTTGGGCAGGGAAAACAGTCTGCGGGATGGCAGTTTTTTTTGCTTGACCGTCTCGCATGCTGTGAGGCTGACCGCAAAAAGTGTGGAACGGTCCCCCCATCTCCCCCCCCCCGGCAAAAGAAGACGAAGCAGAGCCGGGAGCACAGAGAGAAGCACTGAGCAACACTACAAAGAAGGCGCTGGTAACCCTGGTAGAAACCCAACCTCCCGGGAGGTACTTTTCTGTTTTTTGAGGATGCCCTTTTTGGAGTGGTTTTACAAGGAAGCCAAAAGGAACACCATTTTTGGGGGGTCCCCTTAACAAAAAGCTTTTGAGGTGGTTCGTCGCAATCAGTTCGCCGTATGAGCGAGTCTACTCTTTTTTCGGGGTGTAAAGGGAAACCATCAGGTCCCCTTTAAAGGACACACCCATATTTGGAGTCTCCGGTCTGCTTGGAAATAGATGGGTTGAACACTGGGTTCGCTTGGTTTCATAAACCATTTCCCAGGCCATCTATGTTTTCAAAAGGCCACCTATGGTCAGCACCCTTTGAAAAAGGGGGTCATGACCCCCAACATGTTTGGCAGATGACAACATTTTCTTCGGTGCATTTTGCTTGGATGTTAGGACTTTAACTGTTGCCAGCTAATGGGTTGTCCATTAAACCACTAAAAGTTAAAGTTTTGGCAGGGGAGCAGAAAGCAACCGAGTTTTGTAAGGGTCAGAAGGAAACTCTGCTTTTTTTTGGTGATCCAATGACTCAGTCAAGGTCTTCGATTGGACAGCCACTGCCTCCGCCATTTGCATCCGCAACGCGGCCGAGTGGCACCTTTTGTTTCTCTTTTTTTTTGCAGTAGGCTAGGTCCCCCAGTAATGCCCTTCTCTGCCATTTTTTTGGTTGGGAGGGCTCCCCTACTAAAATAGACTACCGAAAGAAAACTGGTACCTTGCTCTAACCTCTCAAATCTGGAGGACCTAGCAAGGGAAACCGTGGATTCATCCCCCTTGCAGTTGGGGTGTACATTGTATCATTTCCGGGGAGGAACAGTCCCTGTATTCATAGGACGGGTTTACGATTTCTGGGGTTTGCCTGAAGGGCTTCCTTTAAGGTCAGACAAGAACAGGGTTGTGGGATCAAGGGGTTTATCACCACTTCTGTGATACAAGCGAATCTCCCCCTGTATATGGGGGGTCAGTCTTTGAGAAGCCCTTTTTGTTGTATCACAGAAGTAGTCATTTCCCACAGCCCTGGACATTTCAAGATCAGACAGGCAACAACTTGCGGGCGCTCAGCAGGGAATGAGTGAATGACCCTTATAAACCATCCCTTGCGTTTTCCTTCAAGGGCACCAAAGCCTGGGTTCACGAAGCCCATTCCCTACTCAGCAAGACAAGGTGTCCTTTCGCTTTGCCCAGGAAACGAGGACGGCAAAAAGGAGAGCTGGTGCATTTGACACGACCTGGCTTCGGAGCATCTCGCGCCAGCCTCGCTTTTCCAACGGGCGCGCCTCGGCTTTGCTTGTCTTTTCCAAGCCGAGGAAGCTTTAGCACGGCGCCGTGTGGGTGTCGTTTTTTTTTGTGGACCCGCCAAAATGGTCTAGGTCCCCGGCTAAGTGCCCTTCTCTCCTCTTTTTGGGGGGAGGGTTCCCCTACTAGAATAGACTACAGAAAGAAAGTTGGGACCCTTATTCTAACCTGTCTGCTGGAGGACCTAGTGGTGGTTTTCCTCTTGGCTTCCCTTTCAAGCAAGTTTTAAAAGGGTACCCTCACAACAGACACACCCATATGGGTATGGGGTCTCCTCCAAACTGTTTCATAACTGTGGATGGACAAACTTCTGTACCACCTTTCAGGAACCCTGGCATGATGGTTCGCCCGTGAATTTCAACAAGGAACGGCTTCAACCATGGTTTCAAAATGGTGCAGGATTTTGCCCACCCGCAGTATATGGTGACCCTTTTGTGGGACCTGGCGCCGACACGTGCCGCCTTGAAAAAAGAGGGCCTCTGTGTTTGACAAACCATCATATACCCTCTATATAGTGGGGCAGTGCTTTGCGGGGAGTGGACAGACTCGAGAGGGAGAGAGATGAGAATACCACCACCTACCAAACCCCCGAAAGACTTAAAGCTTTGTTTGAGCATATGTGGCCTTATTGGCTTAATACTCTGGGTGGATACAATCCTGCACCAGATGGAATGGATGAAACCTTCAATACCACGCTCACTCACCTACCAATTTGTACATCCACAAGATTAGGAGTCCTGTTCAGGCTAGTTTGGTTAGAAATATATGGGTTCCACTGGTTTAGATTGATTTTAAATCGACCATTTCCCAGGGAAATCCATCTAGTTTTCCAGAAGGCCACCTATGATAGTTAGACCCTCGGCTTCTGCGTTTTGGGGGGTGGGGGGTGGGGTTCACCTTCGATTTTTGTCCGACGGGAAAGCCGGAGATGGCGCGGTTGAGCCAAAGGGCTGCCAGCATGAGAGTTTGGTTTGGTTTCGAGTTCATTTTTTCCACTTGCACAAGGGGTCTATACTTCTAGGGGTACCTTCCATTTCCATTCTTTCTAGGGATCCGAGTCTTTTCAGGAAACCAAAAACCCAAAGGAAACAGCGATCCGGTGTCTTAAAAGACCGATGGTTGAAAAGAATGGGGAATCAACCATTTGGGTACTGCCTTATGAGCTGGGTATATCGAAAATGGCATTCGTACATAAGATACACAAGGTTGGTTGGTGTGGTTTGGTTTGGTTGGGTGGTTGGTTGGTTTACAATCCGGCGCGACAAGTTTGCGGACAAAGCGAATACTGCCTTACAAGCTTGGTATGTAACCATCCACACCTCCAAACCTATGCCTGGAAATTACTGGAAATGCCCTTGAGAAGTGTGGCATTGATTTGCCAAGTTGCGCCGGGTACTCACCAGCCTATTTTGTAGGGAGCTCACCAGTTCGGGGGTAGAACGAGTGAACACCTTTGGGGCTCCATTTCTTTTTGCAGGGTTTGCAAGTCTTGCAGATCCGCAGATGTGAAGCTTGGCAGAGCCACAGCAATTGGAGCAGGTCCCCCGGCTAAGTGCCCTTCTCACCCTTTTTGGGGGGAGGGTTCCCCTACTAAAATAGATTAAAGCAAAAAAAACAGTTGGTACCCTTATTCTAACCTCTCTACTGGAGGAGTGGCCAATAGTGACCATCCGGAAACCAAGGGTCGTTGAGGGCCAGAACTGGCTGGAATAAGGAGCCTCTAATTCTACCTAGAGTCTCCCTGACCCCTAGAAAAAGGGGTCATGACCCCTTAATTTTAGGCCGTGACCCCATTTTTTCAGGGTCATGGAGAGTCTAGGTAGGGCCATTCTTTTCAAGGTTCGTTCTTTTCTTAGAAACCGGCGGTTTCCCCTGTTTTTTTGTGTTTTGTTGTTGTTTTTTTTCTCGACGGTGTCCTGAAAGCATTCGGATTGGGTTCAGAATGGTTGGAAGGTACCCCTACTGGGGAATGCTTTCGTGCAGCTCGCATCTTTTTTTTTGCCCCCAAGAAGACAGAGGCAGCCCTTCAACCTTCGAGGTTTTTCGTATCAGACATCCGCAAAAAACAAAAAACACGCGGGAAACAAAGCCGGCTTCGAGTTCATTCCTTTGGGGCTTTTTTTAAAAAACAAAAAAGAATCGAAAGCAAACACACGGCGGAGAAAGAAGAAAAAGCCGGTTTCGGGCCATATTTCCTTTGGGGCGAGTTTCTCATTTTCCAAATCTCCGGGTTCCCGAGACATCTTTTCCCCAGGTGGCTGGTTCCACTTGGCCTCAGGAAGCCCTGGCTCGCTCTCTGGCGCTCTGGCTTCGGTTAGCTAGTCTAAGTTGGCTTTCGGCCTCAAGAGCTGGGAGGGTCATGGGCACATTAGACTCTCCTTCTGACATTTGAAAAAATGGCTGCGATGGTTGCGATCCAGTCATGACCCGAATTTCTTTCTTTTGGGGCAGTCTGACCCGGCCCATTTCTTGAGGGTCAGATTCGGAGAGTCCAGTAGTTGGAACCCTGCCCAACCCTGGTGGCTGTGAAAAGGACAAGGGTTCCTTCGCCAGAGCTGCTCAGAGCTCTTTCGGAAGTTGATGTTGGGTTTTGCCCTAGTAACCCACAAGCGGACATACCAACCAGAGTAAGTGGCCTACCATCATTGCTAGAGCATCTAAGCAGGGTTTAATCTTGGTACGCAGAAACACGTTTTTCTGATTCTGTTCCATAGTGTGACTCCGTTTCATATTTCGTCCACCCTAAAATCTAACATATTTTCGGAGGAGAGCCCAGGAAAATACGGGTTTATTCGGGCCCGGGGCCGCTCCGACCAGCGACTCAGGCGACCCTGTGACGCCGTGTGAGTGTGGTCAAGAAAAAGAATATATTACTCAGGGTCATCGAACTCCTTACCTTAACCCGCAGCATATGAACACATCGGCTTGCAAGTTTGGATTCTGAGCACCCTACCTCCAGGTTAATCCAGAGGTCCCTAGAGGAGCGCTCGGTGAGTGTTGGGGTTGGTTGCAAAGCGTTTCAAAGCAACCAGCCCCTGGTCCCACTGCAAAGGGAACCCAAGCAAGGTTGGTGAATCAATTGAGCCACAATCAAAACCTGGGTAGATGACGGTTAGTAAGGGACAATCCCAACCATAAATAGCTGCGGGATTCCGCCTTCTTGATTCTTTACATGGCTCCGGGGATCGACCATTTTAATACCGGGTTTTGATTATGACTCAATTGTCAAAGAAAACGGGGCCAACGGGAGCCTCCAACGAGCCGCCTCGGTAAAAGCCGCGGCCGGCCGGCCCGTTCGGGCGCAATGTACAGAGCGACACCTGGTGGTGTGGAGCTGAGCGGTTTGCGCCTCCGGCAGGTTGCTGGCTCGCTGGTTGCCTTGATGTTGCCTGCTGAAAGGGGGCGATCGGGTGCTTCGACTTAGTAAGTGGGCAATTCGCCGTATCTGGTTTAACCCACTCCAAGAAAAAAACACCCCCCCAACCCGAGACGGCGTTTTTTTTTATTTTTTCTTCCCGGCCCTTTGGGCCATCAAGTGGGAAGAAGGAACTCTCACTTTGTTTTGGGAGTTTTGGTCCAGCTCAGCGGCTGCTCATGAAGTGTTTTTTGTTATTCTCCCCCGGTCAAAACACTTTCTTCGGGCAAAAGGAAGCGACACCCGCTCACTTCTTGAGTTCATGGGCTTGAGTCACTTTTCGGGTTTGGGCCATTTGGCTGTGGCTCAAAATTAAACAGGAGGGGTTACGCGGGTTTTGGTCCATGTTTCCACTTACCAGGGTTCCATTTTGGTACCAGTTTTTTGAGCCACAGCCATTTTAGCGGCATACAAGAAGTCTGGATCTTTTTTGGGCCATCTACTCGATCCGGAAGCGAGCCTATCCAGAGTTCCGTGATGCTCACGGAATACTCGGCTCCACACCTGGACCGCGGCTGGCTCGCGACATCGCGGCAAAGTTGAGCGGATTTAATAGATCCTCGCTCTTTGAGATGGACTCAAAGGCCGCAGGAGAAATTCCACAGCGGATTTTTTGTTTGGGGAGCTGACTTGTAGACTAGGTCCCCCAGTAGTGCCCTTCTCTCCCCTTTTTTGGGGGAAGGGTTCCCCTACTAAAATAGACTAGAAGGGTTCCCCTACTAAAATAGACTACAGAGAAAATCGGGTACCCTTATTCCAATCTCTCTACTGGACCTAGTAGACTTTCCGGCTGGTCTACGAGCGACCTTTGGGAAGATCATGGTTGGTACTTTGGGTCCACTCCGGCGAGGGCCCCAGCGCTCAGGAACCCTGACCTTCCGAAGACCCCACAAGGGTTCGGGGAGGGATGCCCTGTCTGGCGGTGGGGTCCTGGAGACGTTGCTCCGAGGCTTCTGACGAAATCAGTTCCTCTTTTTGGTTTAAGCATACCCCCTTCTCCCAAATACCCACTTTGTCTAGGGTATTCTGTGAAAAATCTGGGTTTCCATGGCAAATACCGCATACCCTGAAACAAGAGGGTATTTGGAGTAGGGGGTATTTGTTATTCAATCCTGTTGGTTTTGGAGAGAATCTATCACAACTTGTGTTTTTTGGGGGGGAGGGGCTTTAAGCAAATGGAAGATGAGTTCAGGAGCTCACCGGTGGGCTGCATCTGGTTATTCATTTGTAGAGTTGGAACGGCCTCAGCAGTGGTTGGTGGACATATATCCCCCATGTAAGTGATTCTGGGGGTACCTTCCCCATTCTTTCCTGGCATCCTTCTGGGGAAACAGCTGGTTTTTGAAAGAACCATGGTTGGAAAGAATGGGGAATCAAGCCCTAGAGTGATGTCCAGCTGGTCACGATCACAGTTCATACCCGTTCCGGTGGAAGTTTCAGGCGCCCATTTGGAGACCGATTTAACATGAGCTCGACCATGTACTGGCTTCCTGACTTTGGTGCATGTTGCTTGGATGTTAGGACTCTAACTTGTTGCCAGCTAATGGGTTTTCCATTAAACCACCAAAAGTTAGTCACTTTTAGCAGGGGAGCTGATTTCGCAACCGAGCTGATGTCCGGTTCGTCTTTTGGTTTCCCAAACGTTTTCCTTTAAAGAGCCAGCTCAAAAAACAAGCAACACACAACCAAAGGACTCACTTCCCTGACTTCATGGACTTTCGTCACTTTTTGGGTTTGGACCGTTTTAGTGGTTTCAAAAAAACAAAAAAACGTTTTGAGACTTTTTATGGCCAATCCCACTCCGTCGGAAGTGAGAGGACGACTTCTTCTTTTGCGAGTTGCCAGGTTTGTCCTTGCGTCTTTGGACCCTCTGGACTCCTGGAGCTTGTGTGAGGGGAACGGGGTCGCAGGGCGTGACACAATTCGTAAATGTCTGCCACTTGGGTCACTTGTGCCAATCAAATTTTAACTCGTAGTTCTATCATTTGCGTGTGTATATATATATATATATGTTTTTCTTTTTTTCTTCAGCTTTAGATATTTTCCACGGACGATTCTGAGCTGGAAACCAGTGATCACGTGTTTCCGGGTTCTTGCAAGTCTCACTTTCTGAGTACCCTGACTTGAGTCACTTTTTAGTTGAAAAAAACACCTCTTGAGGCGAAGCGTTGAGTCGAATCGTTTTGAAGCATTGAGCCAATCCAAGGAAGGGAGTGGTTGCAAGGTGAGTGGTGTTTTTCTTCGGGAAACTCAGGGGGTTGGCTTCAGTTCTCCTTTGGGTTTTCGTTGAATGACGCCAAAAAAGGGGGGGACCAACTCATCAGACAGAGCCATGTGTTGAAACCTCGGAGCAACTGGGGCACACCGCGTGCCTCCGCCCGTTGCGGGTCTGCGGATTGCCACGGTGGATACCCGAAATATTGCAAGTACACCAACTACACTCACGCACAAAACCTGGGTGCATTTTGCCTGGATGTTAGGACTTTCACTTTTTGCCAACTAATGGGTTCTCCATTAAAGTACTAAAAGTTAAACTTTTGGCAGGGGAGCAGAAAGCAACCGAGAAACCGTGATAAGTTACGGGTTTCCTTGTTCCCCTACTTGCAATGTTTAGGTCATCCGCTCGATCACTAGCACGGAACCCTTCCTTTCGGGGTCCTGACAGACGATGATCGTTTAAAACGGACCCTTTGAAAGGTGGGTTCCATGGCAACGTGGAAAGGAGCTTATTACACCCGATCACACCCCCGAAATTGCCCGACGTAGTCAACCAGCTCTCCGGAAATTTGGTTTCGGGAAGATGAGAGGGTGTGATCGGGTAAAATACCGTGGATGGATAGAATCCTGCACCACTTTAAAAGCAAAGGCAACCATTGCTTGTTGGTATTTACGTTGGGGAAACCTCAGAAACCAGGGCTTCTGAACGGTGCGAGTGGATTCCCTCCATCCACAGCACCCATTCCGAGGTGTCGGGCCGACGGGCGGAAGAAGCCAGAAGCCAAAAGAACGCGACCGCGAGATCTGATCCTGGAGCTTCCGAAGCTTCCTCTTGTGTGGTTTTTTTCCACGTTCTGGGGGGGGGCGAAGCAAACCGGGGGTCCTGGTGTTCAAAGAATGTTAAAGAAGACATGTGGGGGTGGCCCAAAATTCAGCGGCTAGATTTGGTGACGCAGGTTTGGGTCCATGGTTCCACTTGCCAGTGTTCCATTTTGGTACCGTCTTTTTTTGAGCCACAGCCATTTGAACAGGACTGTGGTCATTGTTGTTCCTGAAATCCAGGCTCCATCAAAGTCAGAAACTGGGAGGTGATTTTCCTGAAACCACGGGTCTTTGGCGAAAATAATAACCTGGATCGCCAGTTGCGATCGCATTTTTTCCATGCACTCTACCCCAAAAACTGATCGCAACAGTGACCGAATAAAAAGCGATCGCAACTTGGCTATCTAGGAAGTTTGCGCTCCCAGCCATCCCCTTAGCTTTTTGGCCTTTTAGTGCTTAGTGGTAGTTTCCATTTGACCCACTAAAAGTTAAACTTTTAGCAGGGGATCTGAGGGCAGCGCAGGTTTGCTTACTTTCCCCAGGAGCCCCCAAAACCGCCTTTGACCCCCGGAAACGGGCGGGCTCACATCGCTCAAATCAGTTGACATCGGTCTTTAGGGCTCGGGTTTGGGAAACGGTTTGGCCTTCCGCCTTCCGCCTTCGGGATCGGAGGGCGCGGATGGTTTTTTTTTCCGGGAAACGTCGAGACGCCGAGTTGCGAAACGTCGAAACTCAGAGCCTGGGGGCCCTGAGTCGATCGCGGGTTTCTGTTGCCAGCAGGTCCCCCAGCAGCGAACGGTGCCCCTTTTTTCACCCCTTTCTTGTTTGGTTGGGGTGCCCTATCTGAACATATCAAGGTGCCCCAGTAGTGCCCTTTGACCAACTTTTTTTTTTGGGGGGGGAGGGTTCGGGACCCTACTAAAATAGACAAACAGAAAAAAACAAGTGGGTACCAACTTATTCTATCCTCTCAAATCTGGAGGACCTAGGTTAGCTTGCTTTGGGAGGGTGCCCACTTTGAAACAAAGTCATGTTTTGCTTGCTGGTGCTCAGATTCTGGGAATGAGAAATGGAATGACTCCAAGAAATGGAATATTTTAGGGGGATACTCTGAGATTTGAGCGTGTTCTTTTTGAGTTGATACCCTTGTTTGGTCTGAAATCCAAACAAAAACCCGCCCCTGAACGAACGCACCCATGTTCACTTTGAGGGTTCCTTGCCCTGATTAAAAATTTAATGGCAAGAACCCAACGTAGATGACAATTGCTAGATAAACAATGGTGGTTCATACCCAAAAGGTACCATTTAGAGTCTCCATGACCCTTCAAAGAACTGGGTCATGACCCCCTATTCGGGCCTGACCCCTTTTGCTGGGTTTTTTTGCGCCCATGCGCCCATGTTTTTTTGTCGGGTCAGAAGACGTGGC